TTAGTTGTCGTGTCCCACTGTGGGATATCTTCTTCTGTTGTCGTTGGTTTTTCATAACTTCATTTGTAATTCTTATAAAACTATGTTCATTTTTAAAGGTTTTATTGAGACTATATCAGTCTTTGCAGGTTTTACTGAGACTCCACAACGACAACAGAAGAAGATATTCCACAGTGTCCAGAAAACCCTGGGACACGATATATTTTTGGTGGCAGCGGTTAAAATACGAAGAACGCTGCAAACGGTCATTGTCTTCCGTGAGATTTGTATATTCTGCATATTGATTCTGTTAATGACTTATAATAGTCCTCAGTGGTACCCAAACTTTAGTGATTGGACACAACATAGTTGACATATGTCATTTAAACATATGTCAAATAAAATTCTCTTCATCCGAGTCAAATAAATCAACAAATCGAATGAACAATTTACTTTTCTCGAAGTTCATTAAAATGTATTCCTCATTTCCCTTTAAAGCAGCGTTTTCCAAACTGTGAGGCGTGGACTAGTCTAATTTGAGACGCGATATTAGTCACAGTAAACAATTTTCCAAATGACTGCTAAAGTTTTATCTATTTTATGAAATGGAGGGGATAAAATATGAATAATATTATTAAGAGAGGCGTAATAACATTAAGTTTGGAAACCACTGCTTTAAAGTAACACAGAACATGTGTTTTCTGTTATGTTATTTAAATTAAACTGAAATCGTTTAATTAATAAATATGTTTCATGTTCAATTAAAAAATATACGCACAATATACGAACTAATTTACATTTTACAAAATGTCAAATCATTCTAGAAAGTGTACTAATATAAATATTTTACAATAATTATCAAAATTCTTAACAAAAAGATGCGTTTGACTGTGTACCAAATTAAATGACATATGTCATTTTTTTTTGTTCCTTGAGCTCACTTTTTAAAACTCGGTGGCAATCGCAATCCCGACAACCGAAATACAATCAATCGAAATTAATAACAATTTAAAAGTGATTACGCTCCGAAATAATTAAAAAATGTTATTGTAGAAATTTTCGATATAGTCGGGATTTTGATACAGTCGGGATTTTGATACTGTCGGGATTTTGATATAGTCGGGATTATGGTTGTCGAGATTCTGATATAGTCGGGATTATGGTTGTGGAGATTTTGATATAGTCGGGATTTTAGTAGACGGTCTTTCGGTTGTCGGGCTTGCTATATAGACCCTGTTGATACATGTTATTTGGAATATAGATCATTTAGAAATACAGAGTTACATCTAAATTTATCTAAAAGAAAATATTAACAAATTTATCAAATACTTCTGTAAGATGTACCGACATAAATTTATACGATATTTATAAAAATTAGTAGCATTGACAGTTATGAATTCAGATGATAATAGTGACAGTTAAAACAAATGCATAAGATTATGTACCAATTTAAATGACATACGTCATTTATATTTTGATAACTATTATTCAAAGTTATTTTATTGGGTATATTGATTGTTTGTGCACGAACATTTACATCTAAATTTGTCTAAAAGAAAATATTAACAAAATTATTTACATCCGAGTCAAATTATTCATTAAAAATGGGAAACAAGATGTTTTTTTTAAATTCAGATGGACATTTCACTTTTCCTCGAACTTCATTGAAATTTATTCCTCCTTTACTTTAAACAAGCACAAAACATATTCAAATTAGAAACTCGAGTTCCTGACTATTCGTACTATTTCCTACAATCGTTTATTTGTATTCATTGTAGTATTTGTATATGAATGTATTTTACCTTCAGGAATTTTAACGAGACTTGCCAACATTTCCTGATCGTCTCACGATGAATCTGCTTGTTTACCTGTGATTCTTCTTCGGGGCCACGCATCTTGACCCTGTATAGTTTACTTTTTCGGCTTCAACAATGAGCCACATGTCAAAATTTTACTATCTATTTATTTTAATCTTTTAAAAATACGCTTCAAAAAACGTACATCTATTACATAACAAATCAACAACAAATGTAATGTGACAGCTCGTACTTACAGAACTTTTAAAGAAAAAAAATAAACAAAATTAAAATGTTTAAAAACCATGATTTTCCAAAAAAATCATCAATTTCATATACAAATAATTAACAAACAATGGAATACAATTAAATATATTTGTTATTTTTGCTTGTGAAATGAAAGTTTGCAATTTTTCATTGAACATTTTTACCTTTTTTCGAATTTCTCGAATACTACAGAAAAAGTTAATTTTCTCATGTATAAAAGTCAATTCTATACATTTTATATTACGTGACTTCATCTGATTATGTAGGAATATAACCACAAATAAAATAAGGATTTAATGTCATACCATAAAATCATAAAAATCCATAAAAACAAATTACTTAAATAGACAGATTAATTGAAAATATATAGTCACAAATCCAAATATTTATTGTTGCTATTGTAAATAATTATCAAGTATTAACTTTATCTCGAAATAAATATGAAATATCAAAAAAAAACAATCATTTAGTATAGATTTTCACACATTTATATAATTGAAATTGTTCCAATTTGATATAAGTTTTTATGAAATTGAACCTGAAACAACAAATTACATTACAAATTAAATCTCAAATTACTAACACGAATGATGAAATTTGATTCTCAGTCATTACATAACTTTTTTTGTTGTCTTACTAATATCTAAATGTATTGAAAATTATATTTCTTTCTCAGTGTATGAAAATAAAAATTTATAAATATACAATTTCTTGGGATAATCACAATATATTATTATTATTTATATAATCATCAATTATTTCAAAAACATAGATTTAACTCTTTCCTATGGAAATTACATTGAATTTCAAAGTATTTATAATTGTTCAAGAGTGTTTGAAGTCCACATGCGGTTAATTAATGAATATTTAATATGTTGTTGCTAATGTGCATTATTAAATATCAAAATTGAGAGGTTTAGCAATTGCTTCTAATAATTTCATTTTAATAAATACATATTATTTTCTTCTTTTCTTCAATTTAGATGTGAAAACATGCAAATTGCGAATGCAATTTGCAACACGTGCATTACATTTCTAAACTTAACGACATGTTTGCTTCAAATGCATGTATTTAGCTCTAAATGATGAATAACGAGAACAACACAAAAGCACCCAAATTTCTAAGCAATTAAGTTAGTTTTCAATGTAAAACTCTGCTCCGGTTTTCTTTATTTCTATCGTTTCCCATTCGCGATTCTTTAAATATCTCTAATGCATCAAACTTTCCACTTTTTTTTTTCGGTTTCAGAAACCGCACACAGTTTCGTTTCTGATCGATGTTGCGGATTTGTAAGCGATTTACATATAACACAAAGATGATGCGGTTTCATTTGCTTTATGCGCTATTATTATATGATATCTGATTATGCGGATGAGAATCACCGCAAGAACGAGACCTTGGGACCTTGGGGAAGGACCAAACATTGAACATAATGGTAAAATAATTACTGAAAAAAATTAGAAGTAAGCGCGTTCATGCGAAGGACGCTAATCCCTAAAAGGCGCGAATAATTTCACGACTTTTCTACTTGAGACAATAATAACACATTAAAGAAATAAAACTTAAATATTAATTCCGTTGCATTTCGTTTTTGAAACGGAAGTAATAATTACAGCGATTTTCAAGGCGTTCGAAATTATAGTTTAAGGTATATTAACGTTGCAAATCCGGTTGTTTTATTACTTTCCGGAATTACTTTAACAAAACATCAAATAAATAAATTATTACGTTGATTCATGATTTAAGCGTAAAGAGAAACGCGTCATTTGTAAAGATTTCTCATAATTACAAAGTAAATATTTTCAAGTTGGAGGAAATTTACAATAAACTATAATTGTGTATCAAAGTATGTAATCCTTGAAATTTTTATTAAGTACATTTATAGTTTATATAAAAGTCTAAGTATTAGTGTCAAGTATACGAAAATTCAGGTTAATTGTGTTATATTTATGTAAGTTTACTTACAAGAAATTATGGAGAATTAATATGAATTAATAAACTAAATTTTTGTTTAAATTGATCATACTGTCCAAAAGCATCAAAAGTATCAAAATTCTTATTAACAGTTAAATTATAACGTGTTTAAATTTAACTTTTGTTAAAAACATACATAAAATTAAATTTTATACATTGTTAAACTATTTTTTTTATATAATATACGAGTGTTAAGATAAAGTAAAGTTTTCCTAAACAAATTTTGACAATACAGTGGAACCTCGCTTAACGAATCCGTTCCAAAATGTCCAGTTTTTCACTCGTATAGTGAAGCATATTCAAAATTGCACACAATATGTGTTCACAGGTTTTAAAAATAATGTAGCAGGCACGCAATCCGGGTCTTCTCTTCTCATCGTCACTCGTTATGCGAAACGTCGTTCGTTAAGCGAGTCATTTTGCGAGGTACTCGTTAAGCGAGGTTCCACTGTATTTGAAATAATTAAGATATCGAGTTAAATAGTAGTCACGTATTGTGTAAATAGCAACAACTTACCTATTAGTTAACTAGTGGTTCAACAAAGTATTTTTTTTTAAATAAATTTTAAGCATATTTTGTAGTATTATTCAAATTTTAATGTTAAGTAAAAAAATGATACATCATTCGAGAAGTGAACAATTCTCTGGATTTATTATAATCTTAATTTAAAAATATAATATATTTATATCACACCCTGCATAATTACATTTTTTATATAATTTAACAATTCAATATAAAAAAAAACATTATTTATAAAACTAAGAGCAAATTCCATCAATTGATTAAGCAAAATTATCCAATGAAGTATATAAAGTTGCCTACGTCGCAATTGTAAAATTTTAATATATTTAAACAATTTTTACATGAATAGCATAAAACAAAGAAATCCACGGAACTAGATGTTAAAACTAATCCCTGATGAATGAATTAATTAGAATAGTTTTTTTTTTAATTAATTATTATAAAATTTTGTCTGAACGATTGTTGAAAAGTGCAAGAGGATTCGATTACAGTATATAATACAAATATCTGAATCTATAAAAAATATAGCCTGTATACGTTTATTTATAATATCAATGTTGTATATAAAATAATTGCTGCGGTTACATATCAGTTATATTGGATAAATGGACAAGTATAAAAACGAAACCGATAGGAACCTTATTTTTTGTTTTGTTATTTTGTCTTGAAGCAAAGCAGTATAAAATAGAAATTGTTCACTCTCCGAGCAGATCGCAGTGTTCATCGTTGATGCTCTGAAAATAATTACGACTTTAGTAAGAACAGGTGAAGGGTTATTGTTTTGGAACAGGATTAGTAAAGAGAATATATTTGTAATTGGTGTTAGTAGAGATCGGCATCGACTACAATTGATCACTTCTCGTCTTCAAAAATAATTACTAACAGCATACATCAGTCCTTAAAAAAGAAGTAAACTTTAAAAAGAACTACATATAAAATATAGGATTTAGTAAACATGTTAAGACAAATGAACAGTTCAACAGATGTGCCGGCTTTAGACGACAGAAATATAATATAATTATTGCAATAAACCACAACCGAATAATAATAAGTGTGTATACAATTACCATTAATGTATTGTACGAAATTGTTCGAGACTTGTGTTTTCTTCAATCAATGTATGATGAACCGTACTGAGTGCCTGTTTATGGTTTAAATATGCATTAATAAATGGGAACTATGTGAGCATTCTCATAGCGCCGCGAGCAAAGTTTTCAAAATCAATTGGTTCTATTAATAAATAATTTAATTAATCGCGTATCGACTTCCAATTGTGCGAAAACGTCGCTCACATTTGCTGCGCAATGTTAATGCTACATTATACACAAACTTAGTTACAGAAAACGTCACACAAAAAAAACAACAAACAAAAAAAGAACACGCTGATTACTGTAAAGCAAAATGTATGTTCGTACCTTAAAGTATTTAACCGTCTTCACTCTCAGTTCAAGAGTGGCGTCTTCGTCGCAAATCATGAGCGTGTGCGGATGCTGTTGGAATGCAGAAACTGTCCACATGTGATTGACGCCTTCTTCGATGGCTTTGTATAAAGCGAAAGCCTTATGCGTTCCAGTTATCAAAACCATCACCTAAAATTATTATTATTTGATTAATTTTATAGCTGTTCGCTTGCTGCTCACCTCTTTCGCGTCCATAACAGTTCCAACTCCAACCGTCAGCGCTTGCTTGGGGACCTTCGCGATGTCGTTTCCGAAGAATCTGGCGTTGGCTTCCAGAGTGTCCTGCGCCAGAGTCTTGACCCTGGTCCTTGATACCAAAGACGAACCAGGTTCGTTGAAGGCTATGTGTCCATCGGGACCAATGCCGCCTATGAATAAATCTATGCCGCCGGCCGCGTTTATCTTCTTCTCGTAACTGTTGCACTCGGCCACCAAATCTTCCGCGTTTCCATCCAAAATGTGCACGTTCTCCGGCACGATGTCTATGTGCTTGAAGAATGTGTTCCACATGTAAAAGTGGTAGCTTTCCGGATGTTCCCTCGGCAAGTTCACATACTCGTCCATGTTGAACGTCTTCACATATTTGAAAGACACTTTTCCTGCCTTGTAGAATTCGATCAGTTTTACGTACATTCCATGAGGAGTGCTACCTATAAAAGTAAAAAAAATATACTCAATAATTATAAAACAAATATATCTAATAATAAAACTAGTAATTTAAAAAAAAACTTGATTAATAATGTAGCGTTGTTGATGATGCAAACAAATCTCATGACCAAAGTTGCTAGACAACAGCAAGATATAAAAACGGAAATAAACAAATCGCGTTGTTAAACACAACCGTCTGCGATTTGCGAGTATTTATTTTATTTTCAATCTGAATCACTAAAATAACTTGCAATTGCACAAATACATAAACTTATAAAAAAAAATATAATAATAATATATATTCTATGCAGTATTTACGCTCTAATATTATAATATTTTACAGTAAAAGTCAACGGCTTTTATATGGAACAATTTATCAAGAAAACAAACTGATGCATTATCATGCAAAGCATAAAAATGTTATTACATGTATATAAATAAACAAATTAAGCATTGTTATACAAGGACATAAAAAAGAGAATAAACGGCGTAATCAATTAGGTCAATATGTTAATGGTGGAAGGACATCATTATTGCACATGACCATACCTCAACGTACTTTTTGTTTAAATTATAAAAGTATATATTGTTTTATTGATATAATATTAATCTAATAAGAGTTTTAAACTCAAGGTTAGTTGATATAATAAAATAATATTTTCCAAATGACGTTGATAACAAAAAAAATAGACAAATTAATATTTCTCTGATAAGGCTGTACTGTTAATACGTTAAGGCGACTCTAATTGGATTATAATGGCATTAATAACATTTAGTGTGACATGGATTAAGTAGGTATCACGAAGCTAGATAAATAAGATTTATGGAATTGATTGTATCTAGAAACATCTATTTTCCATGATGATTCATCATTATTTCCTGCAGAAAATTAGTTGCTTGTACATTTATTTTAATTATAGAATATTTTATTTTCAGGTATATTAGCGGTAAACAGACAGACAAGATAGTTAAATACACAAAACAAGTTTCGGTTTGGCGATAAATAAACAGAGATTGGGTTGCACTTCAAATACTGGTTATTATTGATTTAATTGAAGCAAAGTTTACTTAATATTCGTGTCCTTCGTACGTTCCGAACTTATAATTTCCAAACAGATTATCAGAACTGCGGTTTTTGAGTGTGCATGTTTAGATTAGATCACAACAAAATCGGCAGGAACGAAAATAGAATGAGTACGTTAAATAGAAATAATATAGCGTTATATAAGTGGAAAGAAATAAAAAAAAAAATAGGATGCAAAACTTGAAAATCCGGCTTCGATGGAAAATGACTTTGCTGTTGTTCTCGCTGATGGATAATAATGATAATTTGTAATGAAAATGTACCTGTTGGTAGACCGAGGACGAAGTATCTGTCTGGACCAGGCTTGAAATCGTTGATCCTCTTGGCAACATATTTTGCGGCCCATTCCGTGACGACGGAGGAGGTTTCCAGGATCACCAGACGCATCTTCTGTTACGAATGCACGGACAGTGAGCCGATTGGTTAGGAATCGGTTGCACGAATGCACGGTAATGATGGAAACCAAGCGTATTAAACTGCTATCCTCCCCCAGATCGAGACTGCCAGTCTAGGTTTATTGACCTCCGTCTAAATAAATACAATGGATATGATAAGAGACACACACACCATGGGTCTGTAGAGGAACTTTCTGGTATCGTCGTCGTGTACTTAAGGGGGTAATAATCTATGGTCGCAGCGCAACAAACGAGGCCGAGAAATATAGTTAAACAAATAAATAAACGGACGGGCAAGGATCGTGATTGAAGTATCGAAGGTTACATTCGCTTTCACAATGAAAATAATTATTTATGGATGCCCTACCACCGTATTACGTGCATTACTTGTATACACTTGGTGCTTACAACTTAACTCGATGCCGACAACAATTTTCGGGATGCACAGCGGAGTTCCAAGTTCAGAACACGCTCAACAATTAAAAATTGAGCATGAAGTTGCATAGCTTATTTCGAACGGTTCGTTGAGTCTTTCCGAGTCTCATTTGCGAGGACTGCTCGATTAATAATCATCACCATTCGTGAACTCGTTTATATTAGTAAAATACATTATTCAGTTACATTTTGAGGTTGATTTATTGGTGACTGTCGCACTGGTCGCTCGCCAATTATTTGTAGAGACAGCAGGAGAATACTTTGCCAATTCTCATTGAACTTGCACTTTGTGACTCCTTATCCTAAAATGAAATAATTTGATTAAAATATGTAAACAAAACTAATTAATACTTGTTTATAATTTATTGTTGGCTTCAAGGATATCTTGTGTAAAGTTTAAGCAATTATTGAAATCGTCTAAAGGGTGAATTGATTGTTGATTGATTGGGAATTTGTGATTGAAATATTATACTGTCATGTCCATCCAAGTAGTATCCATGATAGGTGTTGTTTAACTTTAGAAAAGAATCCAACTGCTTCTACTGGATATAAATAACTGTTTTTAAGAACATTTCAATATGTTTTATTGCATATATTTATGAGAAAGTATTAAACTTTGTAATCATGAATAAAATGAAGATGCGTCTTGGATGATTTCACATATTTGGAATAAGAACAAGAAAACAAGTTGTTCTGAGTAAAGTTTTCAATTATGTTTACCTGGAATAAGAACAATTAAAGGTAGAAGAACTGTGGTTGATTAAATTTTAAAAAAATTGAAATTAAAAACCTACGCTCAAAGGAAAAATTGCTAATAAGTAGGCAGCAGTAGACAGATCAACATTCATAAACAAGAGTTCAATAATTGCTGATTCAAAGACGTAGAGGACAAAGCAATGTTTGCCAAAACATAAACAAGCCCCTCTTCAAATTAGTGTATCACAACAATGCATCATTTCCTGTTTGAGAGAAATTGCGACGAACAAAGACAAACAAAGTTAACAAAGTATCCTTTGTAAAGGACAGGATAATATAAAAAAAAATTAAATAAAGTGTGTACCAAATTTGGAAACTAGAATTCCCCCAGAAGCGACCACCGACTCGCCGGAATCAAGGTTATGTTGGTAAATAAAGGAATCAGCTGTTCGATTTGACATTCGGTTTTCATATGCGGACTGAACAAAAATCAAAGTGAAATTCTCGTTGCACAAAACATTTTCCAATCACTGAATCCGAAAGGTACGTACACTTGGGGCAAGCCGCAATTCGCGTGCCTCGTATCCAGCCAGTGTCACTGACGCAATTCCGCGCCGTGACTCATTGCACCACCATGAAGAGAGAGAGATCTTGCTTCCTGATTGCACAATGTTCTTATTATAGTTTCGACCTGTTTTCCATCCGAAATCCAGCACGCCGGACTCATTTCGCCACTGAACAGCAAAAGCAGTGCACAGTCTCAAGATGAGTGACAACATCCCAAACCGTATTTCTGATCCAAAGAATGTTGAGGGGGCCAGGATCCGGTCGCAGAGTGAATGCTCTGCTGCTAGTGATGATGAGAATTTTTCCAGAAGGTATGTGTGGTCACTGTCACTGCAATTGATTTAAGTAATTATTGGATGACTTATATGTTTGCAGGCAGAAGGCTACATTCATGGTGTCTTCTGGGTTGACCTCAGCATCACCACCTAAATTTGTCTCTCTGGAGGAGATTATGCAGGCAGCTAACAGCATGCAGGATATGGCACTGGTTCATCAAATTGTAGTTGACAAGGAGTTCAGATTGGAGAGGCATGAACCTGAACCAGATAGTGTTCACAAAGTGATTAAGGATACTATGCATAGAGCCTACTGGGATCTGCTAAGGAGAGACATCAGTCAGGATCCTCCAAATTATGATCATGTAATTATTGATTACTTTTAGTTACATTTTAATCTATGTTTAAAAAAAAATCTACTGAATCTAATAAGAATATCTAAACTAGATATTATCAAGTCCTAATGGAATTATGGAAAATTTCTAAATTGACAATACGGGGAGATTTTTATTAACAATATTAAAAATGGTTATTTGAGCTTTAACAAATTATATTATAAAAAATATATAATGTTTATTGTATACAGAAAAACGTATAGGATTATTGACCGCTCTGTATTGTGTTGTTGTTTTCGAGTACAGTGTGGGATTTATTGAAATGTTCGTAAACAATTGTATTATAGCAAATGTTCCCAGAGTAAAAAGACACGTCAGACTAGTGCATAATTTATTCAACCAAGACTAATCATTGTTCGTTAATTATTATTTCCGATGTTTCGTTCATTGTTAACAATAAATAATTGTCGATAATTATTGAAATCGTTGTATATAGTGAGGAATAAAAAAAAAATAAGATTAATAAATTAATATATCAATGAATTAGACTTTCGTGGATGCTCCAAAGTATCGTTCAAAGCATGTGAAAATTTGAACGTAGGCTGATGTTTCAGGCTCTGGTTCTGCTCAACGACATCAGACAGGGTTTGTTTGATCTGCTGTTGCCGCAGCACACGAAACTACGGCAACAGATTACCGAAGTTCTGGATCAGGATCTGATCAAGCAGCAAGCGGAGAAAGGCATACTGGATTTCCAGTATTTTGCCAATTACGTGGTAACCGTGATGGGTAAGCTTTGCGCTCCGGTGAGAGATGAGAAGATCGTTGAGCTGACCAAAATTGAGGACGTGGTGGAAACGTTCAAAGGAATATTGGAGACTCTGAACTTGATGGCCCTGGATATGGCGAACTTCGCTATAGAAATGGCCAAACCAGATATCATCGCGCACAGCGTGGAACTGGAAAGGAAGAAGTTTGCCGATTTTTTGGCAATACAACCTGGTATAATTACTTTGGATAGTTGAATTGTCGATTGTGGTTAACACATTTTCTGTTTAGATGGTCTTGAATTCACAAGGAAATGGATTTTGAAGCATTTAGATACTTCGATTCAGAAACCAAGTAGCATTGATCATACTACGTACGTGAGGAATTTGACTAAGGAGACGGTTATCAGGGCTGCAATAGATCTCATCGAGTGGGAGCTAAACGCGCCGTATCCGGAGGTAAATGTTTAACTAATTAATTAGTTTCAACATTAATGGCTTAATTTATTAATACTAATATATGTGTGTGGAGTCATTGAATGTTGTTTATTATTGGAATTTATTTATGATTTTTTATCATTTTTTTAGACGTTTATGCTGGATGTAACCAGATTGGAAGATTTGCGGCTTAGAACGGAGCGCTTGGTTATTACCGGCACCGTCTTGCTAGTCACCATGAGTTTAGTAGGTCAGAATCTGAACACCTTGGCATCGTTTAAGGAATCGCTAAAGGAGCATTGCTGCATCATAATGCAATCGTATGCTGAACCAGAGTAAGAGCTCAAAAACAGCGTTATATTTATAACTACGATTAACCGAGATATCGTTTTCAGTAATTTGAAGGAGCTTCTACCGAATATTGCAGTGCAGGCGATCAAAGACGCGAAGGAGAATATAGAGCAGCACAAGTTCTCGCCGATGAGCGAATCCGATGAGAAAACACTTACGGATTCCATCGCGGACATCGGGAACGACAGCAACAAGATCAAGCAGTTGGTCAGACAAAGAATCAAAGAGTTTTATGAACAAATAATTGCGTCCTCGACGGCGGCCCCTCAGAAGGTCCCGGCCGGTCTGAATGCCCTTCAGAAGGAACTGACCGCCATCGCCGGACAATTCCTGAGAATCATTTCTCACAACAGCAGCGTGTTTTGCATTTACTATTACGATATTGTAGAAGGTGCACTGCCTAAGCCAGCTTAAATATATTTTACACACATAATCCGCTAACGTGTATATTTATTTTAGAGAAATTTTGTTATGTACTATTATTTTTTTGTTTTGTTAATTCGATTTTGAAATTGTTTTAGCTGGATCTAAAATCGTTATATCTCTCGGTGTAGACTAATGATGTGATTATATTTTCTTATTAAGTGAACTTATTATATGCAAGTTTATATAACCCAGTAATAATCTAGGGTGTAATGTACTTTATCGCTGATTCCAACAACTTTTTAATATGTATTGTTTATGTTATTAATTATTAATAGTTCGTTGCATTTTTATGTTCAATTGCTACAATTTTTATATGTATTCTCAAGCTGTAATTTAATGGTTATTAATTATAACTGGTATATTGGATAAAAATACATATAATTGTGAACAAAACAAATACTTTTAATTGAAAATTTCATTGAAACTATTTTTAGTATAAAACCAGTAGACGAATTATGCAAATTATTACATTTATCTATTTTCTAATATAGAAAATTAACATTAAAGAACAGAGAAAAAATAAAAATTGTAATGTAATCTTATGTAAAACAAATGTTGAAACTTATCAAATTCTCTAAATTTAAATATTAATTGTTTTATAGAATTCAATTTCTTAATGACAATGTACAAATATGGTTTTTTTTAAGTATTTGTATTCAACCAAACTAATATAATACAAAATAAAATAGAAAGTTCTAAGAGTAAATGTTAGAGGTCTAAAGTTTAGACCCTAAACGGCAGATTAAAATTCTAGTTGATAAATGTGTTGTTTGGGAAGTATAGGTTAAGGAAGTACATAGTTTATGTTAAGATAATAGAGTGATAACGAAAATTTCAACGAACAGGAGTCCATGAGAAAAGGTAATATTATATCTAGGTTCGAATCGATTTTGACACAAATTTTGTGTTTTGGTTATAATTGAAGATACACTACTGATTATCATAGTTAACGTGTTTCGAGAAACAAAATTTATTGTTTACGATGACGGCATGAAAATAACAAAAAATATCAAAAATTAACATCAAAATTGACCATAGTTCGAGTGCCAGAAAACAAGAGAAACGACATCTGAGAGGATGATAGACCGACGGGCTTTCCAGCATTGGTCGCGTCAATAGATTTCGAGCTTTTATTCTTCCCCCTTTTTGCCCCCACAACCGAATCCGTTACGTAACCGAGGAACAGTCGCTGAGGAAAGGAGAAGTGCCACCGAAAAGACCGGACAGGAGAAATTATATATAAATAAAGCATTTGCCGCGCGACATGTACAGGATCAACCGAATCGTGGGTCTGGTCTCAAGGAATTTACGTCCGGCCGTTTATTTCCCACAATCGCAAATCCTTGGTAAGATAACTCTTAAATGTCTTTAACTGATCTCGTATATTTTTAATGACATAAACAATCTCCCTCGAGCATTTTACTATTCGTAATCCATACTGCTGTAACATAACCTACAATCACCCATCACATGCTCCATGCACATAGATATGCACTATCTGAAAGGCAATAGAATAACATTTTTTCAGACAAATTTCCATAATTCCTTAACTTTTGACAGGTGTCAAATATTTTCCAATTTATGACTTTATGACTCAATTCCGTTCTTTAATATTCACTTTAGCAAATACTATTCAAATGGATCTGATGTAATTTTCCTTGCAGTTTACAGACCCACAAATGACATTGTAAATTTACGTACATATTGCAATAAGAAAGGTGATGGTAAGAAGTATGTATGTACAGTGAAGCCACCAGAACCGTGCAAACCAACAAATAAATCAGACAAATGCAAGCAGAGGGTAAAATTTCCATGATTTTCTTTGTGAACTGGACATATTTAAATAATATTTTTTTCAGCCATTGCCATATCTGCAAGAATGTCAGAGACCAAACCTTATGAGCGAGTGCCCCAAACCCGACTGCCCATATGACCCTAACTGTAAGAAGAAAAGTCGGTCGCTCCTTATATTGGCGCTTTTAGTGGCTGCAGCGACAATGGGCGCACTGTATATGTACATCTTGCAGAAGAAGCAGAAGCATCCGCAAGTAGTGACAAAGAAAATTAAGAAGGAAAGGGTGTTCTTGAAAATCCCCAAGGATTCCAAGGACATTCCGGTGGATGTGCCATACCTCCTCATCGGAGGCGGTACCGCCGCTTTTGCTGCATTTAGGGCGATCAAATCCAACGATCCCACTGCCAAAGTACTTGTTATTACCAACGAGGAGTTCTACCCATACATGAGACCGCCCCTATCCAAAGAACTGTGGTTCTCTGATGACCAAGAAGCAGTCAAGAAATTAAACTTTAAACAATGGAATGGTACTGAGAGAAGGTAATTCTTTACATTTATTAGGAGTTATTTTGAATTTAATATTTTTTATTTATTTTAGTCTATTTTATGAACCTGACGATTTCTATATTAACTGTGAAGATCTAACTATTACGGAACATGGTGGTGTCGCTGTTGCAAGGGGTTGGGACGTTTCACATATTGACGTAATAAACAGAGTTGCCCATTTGGAAGGAGGACATCAAATCAAATACGGAAAATGTCTTATCGCCACCGGATCAAGTCCGAAAAATTTGGACATTTTCGAGAATGCCGATAAGAAAGTACTGGAAAGGACGGTCTTGTACAGAAATGTGTATGACTTCCAATGTCTTCACGAGAGATTGAAGGATGCCAAGACTGTTGCAGTTATTGGCGGAGGATTTCTTGGTAGCGAATTAGCCTGCGCTTTCGGCAGGAGAACTAAGGATGATCCTGGCTTCAAGGTATATCAGGTGTTTAAGGAGAGCGGACATATGGGGGCTATTCTACCAGAGTATTTAAGCTTCTGGACTACCGAGAAGGTTAAGAAGGAAGGCGTAACAGTCATTCCGAATGCTGAAATCACTGGAGTTTGTTCAACGAACGACATGGTCCATATGAACCTGAATAACGGTCACACGATTTCGGCAGATTTGGTAATTGTCGCCGTTGGCGCAGCGCCGAACACATCAATGGCAACTAAGTCTGATTTGGAAATCGACGAGGAATTTGGAGGATACCTGGTGAACACCGAACTGCAGGCCAGATCGCATTTGTTCGTGGCAGGTGACGCAGCCTGCTTCTACGATACCAAATTGGGCAGAAGGAGGATCGAACATCACGACAATGCCGTGATATCCGGTCGATTGGCAGGAGAGAATATGACTGGCGCCGGAAAACCGTACCTTCACCAAAGTATGTTCTGGTCCGATTTAGGTCCTGATATCGGTTACGAAGCCATCGGCATTGTGGATTCTTGTTTACCCACCGTTGGAGTTTTCGCAAAGGCCACCGACGAATCAGCAGCTACGAATAAGGATGAAGAAGACGTAATATATGCATATTTTTCGATTATTTCATTTATTCATAATTATGGTAAAATTTTAGGAATGTGCCGGCAAAGGACAAGGAGCTGAACCGACGACCAAGCATCAATCTGACTCCCAGATAAGGAAGATGGCCGAAAGGAGACGCCAGCAGGCCGCTTCTCGACCCGGCGAAGACTTCTCGAAGGGTGTCATCTTCTACTTACGCGATGATATCATTGTAGGTATTGTGTTGTGGAACGTTTTCAATCGCATGTCAACTGCCCGCCAAGTGCTTAAAGATCAGTGCAAGTATGAAGATCTAAACGAAGTCGCGAAGCTGTTCAACATTCACGAGGAAGAGTAAAATAAGAATTCACAAAAAATAAACAAAGGACATTCCGGTGCGCCGAACAATTTGCACTTGTAACAGAATAAACGAAAAAGAGACAAAGAAATCGCCGTTTTATATGTAATTCTATTAGCTTATGTCTTAATATCATTATTAATGTCATCGTCATTAGCGCAGATTCACTGAGATATCGATTGATTGCGTATTAAATAATTATATATCAGTTCATCTTGTTACTGTAATTTTTATAGCAGAGAATAAATAAACGAAAAACTTGCTACCTCCTTACATACCTATAAATAAGCTGCATGTACACCTGAAAACAGAGTGTGTATTCCCAAATCACAAATAATAATAATATTATAATTATATAATAAATAGAGTCAATAATAATCATGTGTGCGTCTGTGTTGTGTATATGTATATATGTATTTGTTTAATTTATGAAAGTTCCTTTATTTCCTTGCAAATCCATAAACACAATTGTGTTGAAGATTTTGTTTTACAGATAACGAAGTCAATAAAATTTATTATAATAAACACATGACTACCACATTATCATTATTTATATTTTAATGATTATGGTTAATCAAATATTATTGTAGGCAATACTAGTCGACATCAAAACAAGTGTTAATTATTCCTATATATTTAACTAATTTATTGGTCCAATAAAAATATTGAAATGTCAGTAATAATCGAGAGTAAGTGTACTAATAAAAGAAATATAAACAAACACAAAGAAATTTTTAATATTTTGAGATACAACGCACAAGAAATATGGTTTAACTGATTGGAATATACGAATATAAAAGCAAATTGGAAAATGTTAAAAAAAGAAGTGTAACCGTTCATGGAATTATAGAATACAATAAAACCCATGCAGATATGAAGATTGAAATGATCTAAGAGATTCAACTTTTGTCGAACCGTTTTTGTAAATTTTGTTTACCTACGGTTCGATCATTTTGCGAAATACACTTAATAATACGAAATGAATAACGTACAGTTATAATAAATAGAAATCAACATAGAAATACAAAAAATATAATATTTTAATCAGTATTAAACAAAATATATCGTACAAGTAGGTAACAAAATAGTATGATCAGTTATTTAGTTTTTAATAAAAATCGTAAGATGTAAGAAACTATATGAAGAATTGAAAAATAAAACTACGTTCATAAAATTCCCATATATAACAAACATTACCTGCTTACACTACCTGAGCTAAGGACGTTCAAAAGGGTCTGTAGTAGTAAAGAAGACATATTTTTTTCAAATATGATGTACTCTGTAGATTGATTGATGCAATTTATTATTAGGGACAGTAAATTTTATTAATTATAAATAAATTGTTATGATACAGATATCTGAATTTCATGAGTACGGTTGAAGTGTCTAAGGGTAGTTATTTTTATTTGTCTTAATTGAAAACGAGTTTGATAATGTTTATAGACTTCAAATTTAAAGAGTAATGTAAATAATTATTGATGTAATGTAATGATTAAATAAATGATGTTATACAATGGAAAAGAATATGTTTATATTTAACTGGAAGATAAGATTGGTAGAGGAATGTTGTAAAATACTATGATTCTATTGGTTGGATGTGATTCGAACGGTAGAGGTCTCTGGTATCGTCGATATTCCGCTAACGGTCGGCAATAGTTTGACGTTTCCGTGTGGTGTCGGCGTTTTTTCTCATTGCCAGAAGTGAGTGTGTGAGTGTGCGAACAGAGGCGAGAGGGGTAAATGAGTTTTGTACTCTTGTGCGGCGAATTTAATTCCAAGCACGATACCGCATTTCGCAATTGACTGGAAGCGATCCTAGCTCGAAGTGCAGGGTGTTTAGTGTCCGAGGAACCAAATACAGAGACTGCTATAACAATGCCATCAGCGGCAAACGTCAAAATTGAAAAGGCACCGGAGAACATGGGGGTGGCGGTGACGGCGACTCCCGTTGCCGATGGAAATACCGCCGCCGTCACCGTGGCCAACAACAACCCCCAGCAGCAACCGCCGGCGCAGGCCACCAACAACACGCCGATGCCGCCGATCCGGCAGGCGATCACCGTGATAGAGCACAAAATAAGGAACATGGAAAAGCGAAAGGTAAGCAGGGCAAACGGAAAAAGGGAAACGATGAATACGATGCGAAGGGGCAGAGAAAAAGTAATCTGGACGATTGCTTGCTTAGGTTAAAACAAACATGGCCGGTTTTTGTTGTATACAAGAGGCTGCAACGCATACACAGCCTTCCGCCATTTCCAGGAAGGAGCCGCTGGCATTTTTTTTTGCAACATCCTCCTTCGCCTCCTGTGATATAAAATCATGAATCCCGAAACATTATGTTTGTATTCCTGCAATCTTATCTGCACACCGAAAACAAACACATCTCGCACGCATATAAATTGCGGCTATGCGCGGATGTGCATCCACTAGCTTGATGCAAACATTAATCATCTTTCAGTTTTTGTATATATGTTTCAGGTGAGAAACTCATTACTTTGCAAATTAGTATATTTCCAATAAGATGAAATAAATCATATTCGTTAAAAACGCAAGAACAATCAACATTGGGAAACTTTTGCATAGTTGAAATGAATTCAGACATATACATTATAGAAAATTTGGCTGGTAGACATAATAAAAATGTTTGCTGTTATTAAGCAAATGTAATCGTATATCATATATTAGGGGTAGACGTTAAAATGCTGAAGAAAACAACGCCTCTGAGCAAATTATATTTCTTCGAACGCCAGGTGGCGTCCATCGGCTGCGAAAGTTAAGCAACGTATTAGAACTGCGATGAGATACCTATTTTTATCAACTCTGCATTGTAATCCGCAAAGACGTTTTGCAACTGTAATAAGTCTTACGCTATACACGTTCACATAATATACAAGGCTGAAGAATTTGTTAGGTAGATAAACAAATGTAGTTACACGCTGTCTTAATTTATTTTGCTTTTGTGTTTATGAATACTATTTCCTGTTAATTTCATTAATATTGGATGATTACATTTAAAATTCGTATTATGCGATTTTGTTTTAGTATTGTATTCTAATCTTGTTGAATATTATTCGTTTTGTAATTTAGTATTATACAATACATAAAGCATGTTTTTCCCATTCAGTGAAACTTAAGCTTGTCCTTCGTGGTGCACCAGGTTCAAATATATTAAATTTTAAATCTAATCTCATTCATCAAAATATTTGTGTTATGGTCGTTGTTGCAATTATAGGTAACTTGCATAGTAAAATGAAAAAATAACGTAGTTTGAATGAGAGTCCATGGTGCAAACTTTATTTTGAAAATACTTGTACAAGTACAATGTGTGATTAAAAGTTACTTTAAAAAAAAGTGAACACATCAAAACGTTAATTACTAATTAAATAATAATCAATTTGATAAGTATTAAGTTATTTTTGCTGTCAGATAATTATATTACGTGATTAAGAGCGGAGAATATGAGATTATTGACACAATGATGTATCGTGTAAAATGCAATCCCTTGTATACCGTTACTTTGTAAATTGCTTGATTATATTTGTTTCTCATGAGGAGACGTCCTTGGGCTACTTGTGCGGTTCTTTACGACCAAGTGGGATGCCATTGATGTCAATCAATTTGCAATGTAAATAAAAAAGTTCGTTAACCTTAGTGTGCTCTCTCGGGGAAATCGCACAGGGCTTGCTACTCGTGAACATCTTCTAATTTTTGTTATTTTCTTTTCTGTCCAGAGTAAATTGGAGTCGTATCGAGAGGTACAGCGATCCGGAAAAGATCTGAACGCGGATCAAAAGTCTGCGGTGGCCAAGTATGATGAGGTCGTCCAAACATTAGAATTCGCACGTGACTTATGTAAACAGTTCCTAGGTATTGCTGTGGTCTCCGACAAGGATGACAAGAAACGGCTTAGGAAAGAGGCCTTAGCGCGTAGTCAAGGAGAATTAACGAAGGTAATTTCTGATGCGAAGATGTCCGATTAAACGTTGTTATATAATGTTTTTTTTTTTTTTTTGTAGATTCGTGAAGTCTTACTGGTACAAGATGCACTGTCAAATATGGTGTCTGAAACGGCCCGAGAAGATTTTCTTCAGGGAAAGAATGGCGCTGCTTTGTTAACACAGACTGATCTCAAGTATGTCTTTTTTCTATTATACGTTAATTGGATTCGGTAATAATGATCAATGTTTATAGGTTATTGGACGATTTATATTCGGTGGCTACGCCCAAGCATGCGAGCGGGAATCCAAGCCAGTTCATGCCCCAAGTGCAGGCGGCAGCGGAGCATCTACAAGCTGTTGTCGATGGTAAACAGAAAGAAGCTTTTGGATCAACGTATAGTCAGATCAAGGAAGTTATCGGCAAGATTCATGAGAGCGGGTACTTCGATCAAGCCGTGGAAACGTTCACCGAGGAATGTGTTGTGTCCATTGAATGTCCCGAGATTGTTATGGTTTCAACGCAGATTGCACCCATCGAACCCATTCCGGTTCAGCAATTGGAAAACATGACGATGGAAGTCAGGCCGCCTCCGCCAATGCAGCAGCCGATCATGGAACAGCCTCCACCTCAGCAACAACCTCCGCAGATGGAGCAACAACAACCACCACCTGTGCAGATGCAACCTCCGGTACCGGAAGCCATGTATTACCAACAACCGCCGCCGCCACCAGCACCTAGACCAATCACCGAAGTCCTAGGCAACGGAAGCTTTTTCTTCTTGCAGGTATATTACTAAAAAAATTCATTTAGTCTTTTTATTATATTCCTATTTAATCATGTTTTTTTTAAAATAATACTACTTGTAATGTTTTTAGGATTCCGAATTGGATACTCCTCCAGAACAAATACCAACGCAAACGTTCACGAACCAGACGTACGTTTCTGCGTTACCACCTCCAATTCCGATGCCACCTCATTTCCACCAATACCCGAATGCTCCGCCTCAGCAACCACCACAAAACGTTGTTGCATCGCAACCAATGCAACAAGTTCCACCGCCGCAACAACTACAACAACAGCAGCAGCAGCAACAACAACAACCCCCGCAACCTCAGCAAGTGCCGCCTGTTCAACAACAACAGCAACAAATTCATCAACAACAGCAACAACCGCCGATGGTGATGCCGCAGCACGTTGTACCGCCAGCACAAACAAACAACGGCATCGGCGAACGCCATCCAGAGGTGCACGAAGATATGAACAGACAGCGCAGGCAGCAGCGCGGTCCGCCAACCAACAACCACCACCAACCGTTCTTCCCAAACAACAACGGCTACAACAATAGACCGAGGAATAACAATAGGAACAACGGGCCCAGACCAAATAATAACAGACATAACCAGCCACTTTAAAGTTGCATTTTTTTGGATATCTCCTGAATCGGACACTGTAAAACTGAACACGAGACATGCTTATAATTAATATTGATAAATGTAACTTATATTTGATAGCTACATCACGTTTGCGCGCTGGTCGCATTATTATTCTTTTCGGCAAAATTGATCATTTTTCATCGCATAAAACGTGCACATTCTGTTTCTTTTCCTTATGTAAGTTGTAACGTAAAAATGATGGTTTAGCTTGAACCTGATGTAGCTATCTGGTGATACAACATTTAATTAAAAAAAAAACATTGGAAACATAATATGATCAGCTTTTGTGAGCTGAAATAAGAAGCATTTCAAATATTCCAACATACACAAAAAAAACAATTATATAATAAACAAAATGTAAAGTCAATTTTAGTGTCGGATTTAAATTTTTTTACATTTGAGATTCTTTTGTTGTCGCCTTTTTGTCCGCCCTTAGAGATTTATTTTTCTTTTTACAATTTAGCACAAACAATTATATTACGAGACGAAGGGGAGGGAGGACCCGAAAGCGTATAAAAATAATAATAAAGTAATCTTGTATATAAGACTTAAATCTTAAATGAATAGCATTTGGTATTTTTATGAAATTTTCTAATATTATAACCCTGAGAAAAGTTGATGAAACGGTGAGAAGAAAATGACGAACGGAAAAATGGAAACACCTTGTCAGCGTACATTTTGTTTCCTTTGATAAGAATGTAGTCTTTTGTATTTTTTTGAATTTATTATTGTTATTTGTTTTGGAATTGTCACGTACATATACAACGGTGTCATGTAGCTCTCTTCCTCGATCATTTTTGTTTCTTTCGTTTTTATTTTTTCACTTTATTTGTAGAAGATTAGTTTTGTTTCAATTATTCTTTTATTACATATTATTATTATTTGTGTAAAATTTAGGGGCTACAGAAATAGTCATGAAAAAGATGATAGCAACAAGAATACAATAAAAAGAATATCCAATTATCCGATTTTTACTTATTTTTATTACAACGTTCAACATTGTACAAGCTCTTCCTTTTTTTTAATTTATTTAAAATAAAACAGTTTCCATTTATCTCTACCTTCATTTGTGCAGAAACGAATTGCTGAAGTAGTCAATGTTGGAATTGCTTACTGAAAACCCCATCACTGTATTCCATATGACTATACTGATGTATAAGAATGCCTTTGTATATCAATAGTTTGTTATATAATGATAAATCTAAAATTAACCATACAATAAAATGCATTTTATTGAAATTTCCTTTATCCTTGCAGTAGATGTGATTTAATAATGTATTATATTTTTTCTTCTTTAAAAGATTGCACATTCTCTGTCATCATACCAAATATAATTATTATTTACAGAATTAAGAGTGACAAAAGTCTAAACGCACTTCATTAAAACCAAATTTAAAACTCAATAGAAATGCAATTGTTAGATCAATTTTGCGAAATCTCAGTTATCGTTTCGTTTTTACTTTGTTTTCGATTGGATTCAGCGACAAATATCTTTACATTTTTGTTTAATGTACGCATATTTATATTTTTGTGCGAAGTCGAAACGGTGCATTTTAGACTTTGAAGTACGGTTGAAACAAGTGCGTAAACAGACATTTAAAAATATAGGAAGCCTAATGCACCTTTTATCGCACGATATCGTCTAGGATACACACGTCTATAAATAAATACAAGATTGTTGTTTCCAAGACAAAATCCGTATTTATTTATGCATTAAAATAAAATAAAAATCAATACAATGTAGATAAACAAAGCAAATAATATTATTTATTTACTCTTTTCTAAGTTTTTTTACAGATTGATTTATTGCAGTCAATAAAATATATTAATATAGTAATAATGTGTACATTTCTTTATTTACTTTTTGTTATTGATTGAAAGCAGTAAAACATAAATATTTTGATAGTTATATTTTCATAATAATATAATCTAAGATACATATTGATAATAAGTAAATATTATATAGGTTTTACATAATTCGTATCTATAATAATACAACTGATATATTACGTATAAATACGCAATTTTCATAAAATTAAACACATTTTTATGGTTTAAAATATTTATTGGTTTGTTATTAAGTTCTGGTTGAACACTTGAATAAATGAAACGATTATAGCAATAACTCGCATAAGTAATACATCTAATCGGTTCCGTCAGTATCCCGGACTAATTGAAGACTTTAAAACCGTATAAAATAAACCGCACAAAAAGAGACTTGCAAAAACTATATGTTAAATAATTTTACTCAATTAAAATTTAGTTTGTTTTAAAATATTCAAACAGGACTGTAGTGAATTTGGACTGATCGAAGCCGGACTATGCGAGGTCTATCAACGTTAGTTTTTATGTTGCTTTTAACTTAATTCTTAGTATTAAAGAGTAATACAGAAAGTAATAATAAAACTACTGAATATACATAATTAGAATATGTTTCAAATTGTTGAGAGCAGATAAACGCATTCCAAAAAAGTTGCGAAGGTGTTATCAGAATTGACCGAAAAATGAAGTAGTTTGTAGATATTTTCAAGCTCACTGCAAAATCGACCTGGAACTTTGATAAAACAACACGTCTCTATTTCTCACTATCTCCCTATGTGTTCATTATTTTGAAATTGTTTCGATAAAGTTACAATTTCTGCGTCACGTTGCATTGTTATCGTATATTTCTGTTGTTTAATTGCAGAATAAACAAGCCTTATTGACATATCGAAGACCAATTAACCGCACGAATTGAGTCACCACTGCATTGTGATGACGATGATGATGAAAAATATTAAAACAAAACAAAAAACTAGTACGAATAAATGGAAATGTTGTTGGAAGAGGTTCGAAAATGTGGTGGAGGAAGTAATAAAGGCAAGTGTGGGTCGAGCGTAGTCAGCGACCCGTTCGAAATCTTATCTGACAGTAGTCGTTGTAGAGTTGATCATCTGGTAGTAGGACGTTGTCTCACTGACTTCTACGTCAATCGCAGATCTGTGGTGCCAGCAGGTTCATCGTACTGCTACTTCCAACATCCGGCTTTTCTGAATTAAACCAGACCCAAATTCCAAGTGATCCCAGCCATGGCCGCTGTAAGTCCTCATTTAAAGATATCTCAGGTTAAGGTTATGTGAAGAGCACTTCTTCCAATTGGAATAATTGCATCGAAGAAAGAGCGTGGCCATTCTTGTCCATTTCTTCTTCAAACTGTCAATGTTTCTAACAACATTCCTCAAAAACTATTGTCCTCTACAGATATCTTTATTATTAAAAATTACCGAAAACTAAGATAAATCAATTTCCTGACTATATTCGATATTTCTATTCGCAGATTCAAACGCACGAATTCAAAGTGACGATGACCTGCGAAGGGTGTTCCGGCGCCGTCGAAAGGGTCCTCAGCAAATACAAAGGTATTATTACATAAAAAAAAAATAATTTTCTAATTCACCAAACAATATAATTGGAATGGCGTGGGTTTGCGTTAAAGGATAATTCGAGCGTGACAGGAAATAATTTTGAGCGCGATAAAGAGAGAAATAAATCGTTGCACGCTGAAAATTGAGAGCGACAGGAAAAGAATGGCACTTAAACAATGTTCCTGATAACGTTGATTTAAGTTGAGCTAATTGTATTTTACATTGAGTGCTCAAGATAATACCAGATTGTATCTTGCCGTGATAAATGTTATCAGAAGCAACTATTTTTTAATTATTGTAGAAGTTGTGCTATCTATCGTTATTCTTTGGGTTTAACAGGGAAAGGAGTCGAGGAAGTTCTGATTAGCATTCCCGAGCAGAAAGTCAACGTGAAGACTACGCTGACGGCCAACGAAATCCTGGAGGTTATCAAGAAGACCGGCAAGGAGTGCGAGTATCTCGCAACCAACTAACTAAATTTTTGAAAACCCGAATTCTCCGATTACTTTATTTATATTCTCATTTATCAACGGCAGCTGAACGAAATGCGACTGTGAAAATAAACAAGCATACAAAAAGAAAGGAAGAAAAGATGCAAAACATGATTTATATGCATCATGTTTCTTTTTTTTTAATTTTATTTATATGAGTATCCAAGTTTATATTATGTTTATGATTAATAAATTTTATAATTAATCTGTGTTTCGTAATTTGTTAAATAAACAACGGAATACATTTGCAAATATGTGTTCCAGCTTTTGAATTGGCGCGTCTATTTTGCGCACATCACAAATATACAGTAGTGTTTACTTAGCTTTACAGAGTTTAGAATTTCGACACTTATTTAGTAACAGTAATGAACACATTTTTAAGATTAAACTGAATTGAAAATGTTCAAATAAATTTTAGAGAAGAAATAATTAATTGCTTATCGACCCATATACAGTAGAACCTTGCTTAACAAGCACCTCGCATAACGAGCAAAATAAATTGTAACAAAAAATGACTCGATTAACGATGTTTCGTATAACGATTGACGAGAAGATAAGTCTCATATTTTGTTTGTGCAAGATTTAAAAACCGTTGCAAAAATATCTTCGAAGATATAGCCGCGATAGAGGAAAATATGAAGATGATTCAAGCTACTTAACAATGTACAGTGAAACCTCGCTTAACGAATAACGAGCAAAATGAAGTGTAAGAAAAATGACTCGCTTAACGAGCGACGTTTCGCATAACGGATTACGCGCCTACTACATCATTTTTAAAACTTGTGTACTAATATGTGTATTTTTGAATATTTTTCACTATACGAGTAAATATCCAGAAATTTTGGAATAAAAGTCGTTAAGCGAGGTTCCACTGTATATATAATTTTCTTTGTAAGACATAATTTGAGTTGAGTTTTTTTTTTCGTCATGGATAGAACTATTGTATTTTACATTAATTTATATGACAAAAAACGAGTGTTTTAAGCTATATTGACTTGCTTGTATCAACAAATGCTATTGAGAAAATACAATATTACATAGGCAACTTATATATCATGTTTTCATTCAAACAACTTTATTTGTGTATCAATTGAAATTGTTAGTCGCCTGTATCACGAAAATGCAATACGAAAGGTCGTTGGTTCAATTCCCAAAAACCAACTAAGTTTGTGGGGCAGAAATTGGGCCAAAGAGATTTATAAATTGAAATAAATCTCTTAAAAAAAATGTGTATAAGTGGACTAAAAATATAAGCTACGATAAACTAGAGCAGCGTTTCTCAACCTTTTTGCTGAGCGACCCAACATATTTGTTTGTAGTTGAACTACCAAAAAAATTAAGTAATAGCTGTCATTTCAAGACTCATTAAATATTTTAACTCATAGGTTGAGAAACGCTGAACCAGCGAAGACTAATTCGTTAGGCTTATCCTCATTTAAATTCTTAAAATGTTTTATAACGTTTTTCGATTGATCATTTTATGAATGGAGAATAATGTGTAATTAGTAAAAGTATAATGTTTGGCCAGAAATTAACTTATTGACAACTTAATACTTGTCATTTATTATTAATGTAACAGAAACTATTAATCAATTATTTATAATTTCTTCAATTAAAGAATCATCTTCATCCACTTTACCATCGCCCTGATATTTCATGAGGGTGACGTATTTCTTTATCTTCGAGCGCAATTGATTTTGCCTTATAGCTTTCAGACGTTCGAACGAATCATCATCACAAGAAGCGGAAGCATCTTGACCATCAATATTTTCAGGCGCTTTCGCTGAAGTTTCCTGTGCAATACCATCCATCTACAAGAAAAAAAATAGTGAATAAGAAATTAATTGGTGTAACTGATGTAATAATTACGTTTTGTATGATGTAATCTGATTGGTTAATTGGCCTGTGCTTCAATCTTTCAGATCGCTTCTTAAATAATCTACGTATCCATGACTCTGTTGTTAAATTACAATTTTATTACGTTAATTTTTTACTTATTTTTTTAAGTGATTGTACTTACTTTTCTTTTTCTTTCCATCATTATCTTGAAGATTCTATAAGAAATGTTATATTATAGTACAATTTTCTTTAGATGTTTATGTTCTAGAAGTAATGCTATAAATATTCTAGTAGTTTTAGCTTACAAACATTATAAATGAAACTGTTGTAAAATAAATAAAAAAAGTTTGATTACCTCCGTCGAATCAATGATGATCTCTTCTTCGGCTGATTTTAGTATGATTTTGTCGGTGGATGCGATAGGCATGTTGTCGCTATATTGTTCAGAGGCTACGGTATATGGAAGATGCTGCGGAACCATCGAGTCCCAATACAAATCCTTGCCGAGTGTCGGATGTTGATGATGCATTTTATCAACTAGAAGATAAGAAACCTACGCGAATAAAACGCCAACGCTCGTTTGCTCCGCGAAGAACCATACATTTACGTGTCTGTCTATAAGCCAGTTGACTTCGAAGTCATCGTCATCATCGCCGAATGGATTTATCAGAGCTTCGGCGACCTTCAACCAACCCATGTAAAAGAAAAACTCGAGAATGGTGATGTACGGAAAGTGCAGATCCGTATCCGCATCGACGAATTGATGCGCAACAATTGTCGTTAGAAAATACCAGTAAACAGCTAAAGTTACCACCTGAACATATTTTCAAACTTTATAGATAACTTTTTAAATGAAATTCCAATAAAACTCAAACGTACTTGAGTGTAAACAAGAGGTATTGATATCCAATCAAAATCCAACAATTCGCCGCATTTGTTGCGGATCTTCGCAATTTCTTCGGTCACAGTGCGAACGTGGATATCGGAAGTGATTAACCCTTCATCCCGAGACTTAATCACGAGATTTGCGGCCCAGGCGATCGGAATCCTGAGTAATATATCCTTAAATACGACGAGAACGTAATTTAAATCTACTTACAAATAACTATTGATTGAAGCCGATTGGGCTTCGAGTTCTTCGTAAATCTTCTTTTCATCTTGCAACATCAATCCGGCTTCCACGAAGTGATCGGTTTTCGGAAAACGCTTCTTAGCTTTTGGTGAAATCATGGACATCGTTATGGCAAAACTCAAGCAAATGTAGCGCATTATACTTCTTCTCGCTAAACGACTTCGTTCACTCTTTAATTCAACAATTGCTTATATACTTCTTTTAGAGAAATTCTTTAATGCTTACTTGCTGCTGCATACTAGCGCTCAATATGATAGCTAAAGTGTCTGGATATGGAATGGACTGGTACTGATCCCAAAACCTGTTCATCACCAAATCCACGTAAAATCCCAGTACAAATGATAAAGGAATCAACGAGTAATACTGGCGGCAATAAATCACAATCTTTTGAAACCATCTAAATTGAAGAATATAAATTTTGATAGACAGTAAGCAAATTAAAAGAACTTAACATATAGACACTATATAGAAATGTAGATATTTTAATACTTCATTCATAATTAATATTAGAAACACAAAAGATAAAGGGATCTACAAGTAATATTAGAGGCAATAAAATAAAATGCATCTAAAATGAAGAATGAAAATGTTGATAAGCAAACCTTAATTGCCCGAGAACCGAAGACAATACAAACAAATTTATATATTTAATATAATATTTCATAGAAACTAAATAGAAATGTTGATATTCGAATACCTCATTCGTAATTAATATTAGATAATCATAAAAGCAAACGTTTTTTTATTATATTATAATATAGAGTACATTTTTAAATCGTCAATAATATTATGCAACATTTGGAATCATCTAAAATTGCTCAATGTTCTTTTTTTATGGCTATATTTAGCAAGTGAAGCAATAAACTTTTAACAAATATATCGTAAATAAATTGAAAGGGTATGCAAAGAAATTTAGATTTAATTAGCATGTAAATGTAATTTTGGTTAACGTTAAAGTGAAAATTAAATAATCATTCGATAACCAAGATAATTTAAAATCAATGAAGATTACAAGTAAATAAATTAGAACAGTTTAAAAACAATATTCCTTTTTCCAAAAATAATTGAATGATATAGAATTTATGAATTAAGAAAAATATAGTATGATTAGACTTACTTTTTAGCGTCTTCGTTAAAGCCGTAAATGTGTAAAAAGTAAACCGCATAATACAAAGCTAAAAAAACAATTAAATCTCTCCATATTAACTTGTAAATGCTTGCTTTCCATCTGTAATAGAATTTTTTTTAAATAATGAAATTTGTCTAAAATTTTGAAATTGAAATAATTTAGTATTAGTATTTAGTACTTACCTGAATAGAAGTTTCACGAATATGCTGAACCTACTATTCGTGGAACTCACTTGACTTGTGTAAGTCACAGTCATCGTCGAGTACTATGAAATGCATGTTGTCTACACGCTTTTATTATCATTTATTTATCAATCTCGAAACACATCTCGTCAATTAAAACGATTGATATTGAATATTGGCCAATTTACACATATAGATAGTATTAAATGAATTAGTTTTCTCGAGAATTCCAAAATCTGAGCGATTTATTGTTTATAGCAAATTTGCAGAAGTAAAATTAAATAGATTTGTTTATGTATATATTTACAACGTTTTTCTTACTTAATTTTATACACATTGGCGTTACAACCAAATTTTACAAGTACAATTTAATAAATAATACTGAGTGAATTAATTGTATGTTTGATTCGCTGATATAAAGAAACAAGCATTAAAAATAATTATAATCGAAGGCACTTTCTATTAGCAATTCCAAGTAAATCCAATGAATGTAGTAAGTAAGATGCAGGACAGACGACGAATCTCCAACAACGATTAATATATGTATGTAACAGTTGTATAAATAGTTTCTTTACCTGATTAAAATCACAAAACTTTCATTAGTAGTATAATATATAGCACGTCCTAATTAATATCTAGTACAAAAAAGGAAAAAAACGAACAAAAAATAATTGACTTAAAAAAAACGTATCCTATTTAATAATTGCGCTGCGTTCACATCGTTGAATAGGTTCGGATCGAGAGGAGAACTTGCGTTCAGCTCAATGCAGTATTGTTTTTTATAGTTGATCATTTCTTGGTTCATCCGTCGAGTCCTGTGATTTCCTCCTCTCTTCATCCAGAAGAATGTCCATGTGGCATTGGCCACCGCTCAGCGATCGCGCCAATCTGCTGTCCATCCTCGAAATGATTGGCGGACTTTGTCCGGAAAGGGCTTTGCCCATCAGCAGTTCGCCTTCTCCTTCCCCTGGATTATTACTCATTGACCTAGCCAAGTTTAACACCAACCTGAATAGACATAAATGGTTTAATACAAGATGTTCGGAAGTGAACGAAGTGCAAGGATAAAGAACTAATAAACTGGCCTAAGAAGAAGTTCATATAGAGTTTGCTGGTAAGATGACCAATTTCTCTCTACAAAAAAGAAAAGAAGAAAAGATTGAATAGAATAGAGTTTTGATGCAGATTGTGTTATTTTACTTATTACAATCTAAATTATACAAACGTACTATACGGAAAAGGAAGAAATATACTACACAAAGAAAGCAACAATCAACAATCTTGTGGTGTAACCAATAGTTGTTTCCTAATTCACGATACATTTTCTTAGAGGATTTGAGCTTACTATAAGACAGACAATACGAGTCTCGTGCATAAAACACTTACGGTAAGCTCGAAGTTTTGTAGAGTCCTAAATCTTCATATTGTAATTTAATATGAAGATTTCTGTTCACATGTAAAATTAATTTGATTGTTATAAACGTCAGCCGAAAGAAAAACAAAATTATATAGAATTTACAAATTTTCAACTTCCGAAAAATATATAGTAATAAAACACGTTGAAATAGGATTTAGATGAATATATCTATCTGAAAATATTTAGTGGAAAATTCAATAATTTAAGTACACAGAAGTAAAATCATGCATTGGATAGATGGAATTTAGAAATCAATTCGAAAGTTAATGAAGATTTTAATTGGTTACGTTGAAAACGATTTTGAGTTTGAAAATATATTTGAAACATTTAGAATTTTAGCAGATACAATTGTATTAGAGTAATTTTAAACTTAGTCTTCAATTTGTCTCAATTATATTTTCAATTAAGTAAATTACGTAAATGCAATACAGACCTGCTCTTTCTCTCGTCCAATCTGCGTTTTTTCAATTTATTAAATTCATCGCAATCTTCAACGTCCGAACCATCTATAGTTTCCGAACCTATACTAATATTGTCCATTTCGCTCAGCGGAGCAGAGCCTTTCGAGTATGCAGAGGTATGAGATTCCTGGCGAGATGCGAATGCAGATCTGGAAAATAGAAAAAATGAAATATTTCAAAATCGGTGGATGGATTAATATAACAATAATACCTTGTCGGTACTTGGACTGGTTGAGACGGGGGTGGAGGTCCAAATATTCCGAAGACGCTCGGTTTCTGCTCCTGAGCCTCTCGCATTGATGTCAAGGTTTGCTGCTCGTCCAGCTCCTCGATGATCTGATCAGTGATCTTCATAGCGGTAGGAGTTTTTGGAGGCACCAGGTTGTTCAGCTCGACCGTCGATCCTCTTCGACTTCCAGTCCTTGAATCCATTCGACTATCTTCTCGATTGAAGAACTTCTTAATCATGCTTGTTACAGATGCAACTCGTTGTATGGAATCTAATTTGAAGATAATCAGTGGTTATTTGTTTGTTTTCGATTAATTTCGAGGATTAATTGGATTAGTTACATTAAGTTTTATGGTCAAGTATAATTATCCCAAATGCTGAATTTGAAATAGTGATTTAAAAAGGGCCTAGTTGTGAAATTATTAATAGAATTACAATAACATAGATTGAAATTATGGGAACACAGATTGAAAATAAGCTTGGACAATGTGACAAGTACAGAAGCAAACCACCAACAAATAAATAATATTTGCAAAAACTCTACCTTACAAATTGCAAAATCATAATAATGAAATAAGATCCAAATGTGGTTTTCAGGTTTGGGTTAATAATGAACAGATTTTCCTTACCAGGTACGCTGTTACCTAAGTTGCTGGCCTGCGAGTTGCCGCCGCGTTTCATGCCACCATCCGTCTTCACGCTGAACATGATTCCGCTCTGCATGTCGTCGTCGATCTTCACCGAAGTCGGTGGACCGCTGATCTCGTGTCCTGTTGGAGAACAAGCGATATTTGCCGTCGAAGGAAGAGGATGCTGCTCCTTGAACGGCTCAGAGGCCAAAGTGTGCGGAAGATCAGGAGGAAACACCTCGTCCCAATACTGATCCCTCACCAGCTCGGGATGCTCATGGTGCATATCATCAACAATAAGATAAGAAACCTACAAAAAAAAAATACAATCATCCACTGATAAATACTTATGCCATTTGTATGATTTACCTGCAGGTTTCGATCAATCATCCAATTGATTTCGAAATCATCGTCGTCATCCCCGAAGGGGTTTATCAGCGACTCCGCCACTTTTAGCCAGCCCATATAGAAAAAGAATTGGAGCAGAGTGAAGACTGGAAAATAGAGGTCAAATTTGTATTCACTATGTTCCACCCATTGATGACCCATTAGAGTCGTTAGAAAGTAACTGTACACGGCTAAAGTCACTGTCTAAAAACCCGGAAACAAAAAGAGAAAAACAAAAATGAAATTCCTAAATTGCAATCAACGATAAACTGGGCTACTTTGTATATACGACATACCTGAGTGTACACCAAAGGGATGCTGATCGTGTCGAAGTTCAGCAGAAGACCGCACTGACCACGGAACTTGTTCAGTTCGTCGATCATTGTCTTCACAGCGAAATCATCCCGGATTCTTCCTTCCTTTCGTGCTCTTGTTATTATACTTGATGCCCAAACTATCGGCAACCTAAAACAATAATTAATGCATATTAGAATTCGTCTGGATTAAAATCTAATATCAAAATCATATTAAGATTAGACACATATAGATTCTTATGAAGAAACTTCATTACGTCAAGAATTATTACTAAATCATGGACAAATATTGTTTTCTACTCGAATACGTAAATACCCGACGAGTACTAATTAATTACAGTCTACACATTCTAAAGTCCAAAAGAAATAATATGAAAATTGCAACAATATTTAAAAAAAAAATTATTTCGTAATTTAGAGAGGCAAAAATAGGATATGAATCTTGCTGAAAACGTAGTTTAGAGATTAAGCATTTTCTTTTATCAAGGTATTTGTACTGATAAATAACATTCCTTTACAGGTAAAAGGTAAGTAAACCTTATCATTCAACGTATAATGTAGTAAATATTCTGGAAGATTATAATCAATTTATCTAATAAAGTTAACTATGAATATCAGAAATTTATATTAAATAATTTTGAAGTAATATTGACTGCAAAAAAAAGTAGGTTACGATTTCGATGAAATAATACGTTTATACAAATGTGTTTTCGTATGTGCAGGCAATCAAAGCAAATATTGACTCGAATGACGCGATTCGTTTGCCGTTCAACTTACCAATGCTTCGAGTATTTCGGAAACTTTTGATTCAAATCCGCGATGATGTGTTTCTCGCTCTGCTGGAGAAGACCAGCCTCCACGAAATGATCTAACGTTGGGAAACGCTTCTTCACTCGCGGACTTATCATAGTGAACATCATCGTCACACAGAGGCACACATACCTCATTATTGTGCGTCGCATCACCCTTCCCCGTTCATCCTACAAACAAAAGGCTTTTAGTACATACTCGTTTCTTCTCACAATTTCACATACTAAAATAGTATTGATTTACACAGAAACAGCATTGATTTTAACGATATTTAATCCCATCAAACAGATATACTGTGCAAATACTCTTACTATAATCAAAAATCAATCATTGAGATTATAAGCTGATGGGAATTATCGCATTAAATCATATTTAAATATCGTTTTTTTTGTTGGTATATATACTCACATTACCATGAATTGTAGCGCTTACGAATACAGCCAGAGGGTCTGGAAATGGGATTGTCGTATATTGGTTCCACCATCTGGTCATCACTATTGAGACATAGAAGCCCAAAACGAATGAAAGCGGGATGAGATCACTGTAGTTTTTGCAATACTGAACGACGTTCTCAAAAATACTAAAATAATAATTTTACAAATTACGATCAAGAAACACCAATTGACAAAAGAAAACTTACACTTTTTGGTTTTCATTCAGTATAAATCTGTACATTAAATTTAAGCTGTAATAAAGTATTAGGAACAACAGCAGGTCCAGCCATACAAGTTTGTATATACTTCCTCTCCACCTGAAACAAATGAGATCATAGTTTATTTTTTATAAAAACGCTTCACAATGTAACTAGAACTTTAATTGATTATGTTATAATTGGAAAGGTCGTTGCGTTTCGCATTTACAAAGTGACCTTTTTCATTAGCAGTTTTAAAAAAAATATACATAATGTTTATAGCGTAGGATAGGAATTCAATTATAAATAAGTTATGTTGCTAAGAAACTATGTCAAGTATGGTTCCGATTGAAAAAGAGATTCTTTCATAAACTCGATAAATTATTTTTTTTTAATAGCATCATATAAATCATTGGTAGCATATCGTGTTCTAGTTAGTTGAAACTTGAGTTTTCCATGCCAAAGGAACGGTCGCTGACATTTAAGAAATATTTAGAGCTTCGGGATGCAATGCCAACGTGAAATGCAATTCGATTTTTGCTAATGATATTAGGATAAGATTCAAATTCGCATGTATATTATAAGGCAGAATATTAATATTATAATAAAGTTAAAAAAATATCTTGTAACATCAGTCAGTTTTTTTGGAAATCAATTATAAATAATGTTTAAATCTCCATAGAAACAATATACTTTAATAGTAGCCATTATGAAACAAAAACAAACAAAAAAAGAAAAATGTCAATTTGACAATTAATTCTTATTCAGATTCATGTCTACTTGTCTAATTTTACTTAGTTTAAAAACTAGTGTTAGAAACTACTAATTATAAACAAATATTTGGGGTAAGTATTATGTAATGCATACTATGTATACTATCTATTAAAATAGTCTAGTTATTTACTATTTCCTTAGTAACAAATAACAAAAATTGTCTTAAAAAGAGAGAATAATAATGCCACTGACCGAAAAGTTACACAACAATAACGTTTAGAATGAGCACGTGTTTTTTGTTTATATGTGTGATCTCTGTAGCGCATTAAAATTGTAAATTATTTAATACCAAAAAGGTCAATGGCAAATTTCTAATAATATCCTATTGCTATTATGTAAGATATTAACATATTTTTCTATACACATACAGCAGCAAACGGTGACATAATATAGTATAAGATTTACATAAATATAATGTGTCCACTCTTCTTTGTTTGTTTGTTGACGGATACACAACAATATCAGAAACAAAAATAAACTTTGGTACATTTTATACGTACACTTGATGTTTGATAATTTGGTTTAGAGTACATTTTTATCGATGCGTGTAAACGAGCGATGAGTAAATAAAAAAAATCCAATCTGTAAATCAAGCGGAAATCAACGCGTGGGCAATTTTGAGTGCTAACGTTTCGCAATAACCGAAAACCTGAGTTTCTGTGTGATAATGAAACATGTCGTTTCGTCATACTAATTGCCATAAAAATAGATTGTGAGACATCGCAGACAGAACTTGTTTTTTTTACACCAAACATATCGATTGCGTAGCAAACAAATATATGCATATGAAAGAGGATATAACAGTTTCGTGCAGGTGAATAGCCTGGATTACATCTGTAAACTTCATTCGGCGATAATTGCTCAATAAATGCGTGTTAAGTTATTCCCTGAAACGTGAATACTCTTGAGTAATTACATAATTTATTAGCAAATTCATTTCATTGTTTGTATCAAAATTCAGTTCAATTAGTTGTGTTTAGTCATACAAACAAGCAATTTAATTAGGATTACTAGTTTCACAGAACATATACATTATTCACTTTAATTAAACCAAAAGTACAAATTTGGCAGGTAAAAACGGTGGCATTACTCCACGACCTACAGATGTTCAGCCAACTGCAATTGACTTGTAGATCATTTCATTTCAAGTGCAATTACTTATATTATTTTTATCTTTGTAACTTCTTTCATTGTTATTTTGAATTTTATATATCTACTTATTAAAAGCAATAATTTAAATAAGACAATATATAATAACTATATTAGTTCATGTGAAATTACATTTTTTTCGCATTTTTTGTTTGGCATAAATGAATCATTATGTAAATTTGCATACTGGAAACGCTTAAAACATAATTTGCTTTAATTAGTGATTTTAAAGCTTATAATCAATTTCTCATCTTCATATTAAATCGGAATAGTAGTTACTACTGTTTTGTAGATGACAGAGCATCACCGATTTAAACCATGTGGAAAAGTGATTCAGGAAATGACGTACTACATGTATCGAAATCAAATCGCATGAGTACATTTACGATGAGGAAAAAAAGTGGACGACGATTACATAACAATGAATTAACAATATTTAAATAATGCAAATATTTGAATCGCAATCGAATATAATTTTACAAAAACAACTTCAGTCATATCCAACTAAAGATTTAAAAAAAATGATTTATTGCTATTACAGTTTAGAATACAAAATTTAATATTCATATTTATTAATACTTGTACCCAAAAGTGTATAGAAAGATGTTTCATATATCAGACAACAATTTCTATTAATCAATTTACTTTATGTCCTTTCAGTGATTGATATTAAATGGACTCAGATCAAATATTATAGGGTCAATATACTCAAACCATTTTTATGTTTCAATCTATTTATAGAATTACGTAATAATATAGTAAACAAGTTTTTGTGCTAAAGCAATAAAATAGCAAACTATCATTGCTAGTTTATAAACGTGCCAATTAATTCCTACTAATTAATGAAATCTGAAATATACAACTTGTTGCTTTTATCACTGCAGTTGATGTATTGAAAGATATAAGCAAATGTACAGGGTGCAACGCTGTATTTTTTTTTATTTGAAATTGAATTTTATTGAACCACAAGCAAAAAATGTTGGAAAACAATTAAATTTTTTGAATTCACTTCAAATTTTCCATATGGCTACCATAAACGCGAATAGTTCTGAGTTGGTCGACAAGCGAATTCTTCGTGATTGAAGGAAGATTCCGCAGGTTCACTCTTCCTTCAATCACGAAGAATTCTAATGGCAATTCAATGTCTAAATTTTCGATTAATCTCTCTTCTATGTAAATTCAATCATTTTGTTTGTTTACGAATTTCTCAATTGGGAAATTTTTCTCATCAGACAAGACGATATTTTGTAATCGGCTGTGTTCGTGCAAGCGCAACAGCTCCTTCGCTATATCGAGACTAGTTTTCTTTTTAACATCGGTGAGATCTTGTCCTTTTTGGAACTTGTAAGGCTTCACTTTGAGTTCGATTTTGAGTATTTGTTGCATGGTTATTATGGATATGTTCAGCTGAGTAGACATTTGTCTTCCACTGTGCCTTAAGTTTCCGAACCACTTCTACCACAGATGTAGTTTTTTCCGACCTCCAAAATAGCATTTTGTTGGATTACTAGCTTCGTTATAACGTGTTATGGTTAGAGACACGAAAGATTTATTCACATTGAGGTGTTCGAGTGCTCTAACAATAGCCACATTTGGTTTTTCGCTCAAATATTGGGCTATCTCACTATTAGCTATATCTCACTATTAGCTATAGACTATCTCACTATTACGTTTCAATTTCATCGCTGATAACTTTTGATGCAAATGCAAAATTGAGATGCAAATGCTTCCACAGGCTTGTAAATAATCAAATCAGCTATCATTAGGCGAAATATCCATTTAAATAAAATTATGCAAATATTTAATTTCCTTCCAAGATTATCTTTACAATAATATTTGATTATATGACAAGGCATTTTGATTAGAGCTAGGCTAGCCTTACATTCAGTACAACTTCATCAACAAATTGGCCTTTGAACCCTGCAAATCATATGTAATTTCCATTAATTTGTATTCCAACGTAAGTAACACTTTCTACATACGAAAATACAATTTCGAGATAAATCTAAAAATATTTACTTATTTCCATCATTCGTGTCATAAAACTAACAAAACATTTGAATGAAAGTCTCGATCCATTGAGAAATATAAATAAGTGTGCAGTTAAATGTTTCATAAATAATCTGACGAAGCTGTAAACACGCTTTCATTTCAATTCATAACATCTCGAAACATTTATTTGAAATGTAGTGTGTGTTTTTTACTACATTTCAAATAAATGTTCAAATTGTATTTACATATTTTTAATATGTATTTAAATTAGCTTTAGTAATGAAACAAAACTCACAATTATAAAACGAGTTCAGGTAATTTTATATTCGTCAGTTGCCAAACATCCTGTCTGGATGGACATTTGCCAGGTGTAACAAATGTAATTGAAAGTTCTCGATTTAATTCAATTAAAAGTGTTTTAAAATAGAGAAACGAACAGTTTTAATTACAATTACGTAAATTTCACACTTTTCGTCATGCGTCAGTTTTTACAGTAATATACACGGATTTAAAAACGTTATACCAAAAATCACAAAACATCTGTGGCTCTCAATCAAGGTTATTCTATTAACAATTTCTCTTCATCTTCTCTTCAATGAAAGAAAACATGTAATTTTTGTAATTTACGAATTGAACAGTAAATTAACAAGGTCATTTTCGTTCAGAATTGTTGCGAGTTAATGATTGTAGCATGCAAACGTTTTTTTGGAGAAAATCATAAACAACGAGCGAATCGATTCTGTTCTGTTTTCGTTCCAAACATTTTCCAACTAAAATTATATAAAAATATACTAGAAACATGAATTTCTATACATTGTTTTCATAGAAATGATTGTTGTTCTTGTTACAATTTCCATAGACCGGACAAGGATGAAAAAAAAACCAGACAGTCATGCGAGTTTGCAATTTGTAATCAGCTGATAATGAGCGTGTTTCCATCCAAACAATAAAACTTAATTGGAACATAAACATGAGTAAATATAAAAAAGCAACTAAAATAAATGGCTTGGTTATTTCTTGGAATACACTTGTTATTAATCAATTAGCATTAAACTATCTTTAGAAGAATAACTTTACAGTAAATCTACCTTACTAGTAGTTCTACGAAAAGTGACGTTAATATTGATGCTTGAAAGTCATATATTCATAAGACTTTTTTTTGCATATCTTTTTAGGAAACTATTATAGTCTGCGTCAAGTATATTAATAGAAATTGTAGGAAATGTGTTGTAAATAGACGCGTTTTGGTAAATATTACTTATTCACGTCAGAGTATACAATTTAATTAAGTAGTTCATTGCCATTTCGGTATATTTTCGAAGCAAATTAAACACGACTTATAGGATTTCACCAAGGATGAGATTTTATCCAAATGATATTCGACTTTAGAAATCTAGTACAAAAAAACATCACAAATGTTTGAAACTTACAAAAATGCAAATAATTACAACATTGATTACCAAAATCCAAAGCGTAATTCTTCATAAATTAATAGTTCCATAAATAAATAATGCAGTTTAATTAAAAATTGATATAAAACACGTTTTGTTTTACCTATTAATATATTCAGGTACTTGACATTGCATTGAGAAGTCTGAAGAAGCAAATCTATTTCTATAAATATACTTGCAACTATTTAAAGAAAACTCTGTTGGAAGTAAAGTTCATTGTTTAATTACGCTTTGTTTTCCTATAAAAGTTTTAATTTCCAATACTTATTAAATTATTAATACAAACTTTACAGCCACGACTTCCGAAAATAAACGAATGTTTTTGTTCGAATTCATAAAACGTCCTATAATTTATCGATTCTACACTGTAAAAACGTGTAAAGTGTTTCATTTTATAGTTATATTTCCTATTTATTTTACTGTTAGAGTCAATAATAATAAAGTTAAACACATATTTATTTAGTTCATAAAAAATGTACTTAAGAATCTCGGTACATTCTTTATGCAATAATGAAAGTTTTCAATTTACATAATTATTATTCATTCATTGCATGTAGAAATTACATCAGTTCCATGCGTTTTATAAATATAATCACATAATTCACTGAATAATTGTTTTGACTCTATAATAAAATGAGTTTAATCCAAAATTACGTTTTTTGTATCAAGTTATACAGTGAATTTCCATTATAACAATACATTTGTTCCATCGAAAATTCATTTGGCTCTTGTCCAATGTTGTGCCTACAGACAGACATACAATTATTTTCTAAAAATATTACATGATTGTTTGTTTTAAATGCTTAATTTGCGAGAATATTTATAAAACAAACTAATGTCATATCAATTACGATATTATTTCTTTCGTAGCGCGATGATTACTATGTTTACTTTACTAGAAAACGTTTCAATTTTTAAGTTGTTTTCCTTTTTTTTAATTACATTTTATCAGATTTAGGTAATACCTCCCTCATCTAATCAATTTTAAGGGCTTTCATTGTTCCATATCGTTATCGTCCCTATTATCTAAGAAAATAACTCGATAAGTTACTTTACAGAGAAAATCTTGATTTAAAGAATTTCAAGAAAAAAATCGTTTCTTTTGGTAGATTTCGAAATTTTATATTGATTCTAATTTACGAAAACATTACATAACAAAATTTGTTAAACGTAAAAAAATGCATTGATAAAAAAAATCTCAAGGTCTAAAATATACTTATAGAGTTAAGCATAATCTTTATAATTAGACAAAACTAAAGTAGATGATTCATGGATTTTAGCAAAGAAGAATGAACAAGCACAGATAGACGTTTACTTTAATTTAATCTCATTCTAATGAGTTTAAAATTACTAAAATCCAAACTAATTTTTGTATCTATAATGTTTTAAAGTATATAAAAATAAATTGTTTTTCAATCAACAAATTCTAGATTAATGTAATTAAAATGATGTTTTAGTTCAAACTGCACTTTTACTTAAGCAAGTGGTAATCTTATCTTAGTTGTGCGTACAAAGGAAGCATTGAAAATTCATTTTTTTATATAGATAATTGCAATATTTAATATTTTACATGTACGAACATTTCAGTAAGTGAAAGTGTATATTGGTAAGTTTGTTGGAGGTCGAAGACCCCAATTGGCTATCGACCAACAGTTTTAATTTGTTCCAAGTATAAAATTAAAGTCATTAGAAATTCCAACTCGTCGAAATAACAATGACTGAATCAAAGGTAATTTACAAAATTTGCAAATTTCCTGATACTATTATATTAGTTTAAATTAAACTTTGAAAAATTAAAATTTCTTAAATACAACAAATGTATAAACACTTAAGAACCAATTAGAGTTTAAATTAAACGAATCATCTAATGTACTACCAATGCAGGTAACAAACAGATGTATTCAATTTGTTGTAAATTAATGAGAAAGGTATCAATTTTAAGAACACTGAAGATGTAAGTTTGTAGAACTAACTTTTATCACTTTGATACGAAAACCCACTTAGTGGATGATGACTCATAGACTGTTATATTACTAGAACTAACAAGAGTGATTTCCCAGATTATGTCACATCTTTTTTTGTATTCGTCTGCAGACAAATTGTTACCTGAATAAGAACATGACAAATCTGAAGTAACTATATAAAAATCCACGTTAAATTTAGTCGTGACCACAGTTATCAAAGTGGTGTGTTATTTTTTATTTGGTCGAGCATGTTCTGTTACGCTATGCAATCAATTAAAGTCAAATTATACGGTTCAATGTAACGACCCACACTTTTCCTTTCTTCGAATCACGCTAACCTTCGGAATAATTTGCATGGTGATGGTTTGTTTGTGTTGTGACTTCTTACCTTCTGAGCAGCTTCAAGAAGCAGCCCAATCCACGGCATGTGGCTACTTCCGCGGTGTACGTGACAGTCATAGCTAGTGGATGTCTTCGGGATGATGCTGATGATGGTCAACGATGAAACCCTCAAAGGATCTCGACTATCTGGTACATCTAGGTACACTAAAATGCATGTAGGTACGAGCCCGAGTTTTTATATGTGCCTCGACTCTGTACTATCTATAGAAGAGAATTCGCTTTGAAGTCATTGTCGAATCTCTGCATCACTCGAACCGCCACTGTCAGGATGAATCACGGTGGTAATTTATAATGTCGATCAGAAATAAACGCGATCGGGAGAACTACTTGGAAGAGGCCGTCGTCTCTCGATGAGGTTAGGTTAGATTCGGAGAGGCAGTCGATGCGAATCGCACGCCTACATCCACCTGACTGCTGTTTGGATTAGAAGAACCTCGTGCGTTTCCGTATGACAAACTCCCACCAACGACACCTCCGTAACTGCCCCTCCTAAAAACATAGTTACCTCATGCAACAATTTCTATTTGTTTCCTTGGGAATAACAACAAATAAATGAATATCGCACAGTTCTTTATCTACAGTAGTATTGGTGAAACTCGAGGCGTTGCGACACACTTGATAAAAGCAATAACCATTAATTCCCATTAACTTAATTAACTAATCACTCCAAGAAATTTTGTTCACCTCTGGGAATCTCGAATCGTGTTCAATTAACTGCCACGAATTAAGAAAAAGCTTTAAAAAGTTTTCATCATCATATCAATTCACAATGTAAAACAACAATCATCTAACTAAAGAAGTTTTTAGATACATTGACTAGTGTCTCGTAACCTTTACCTTGAGCACGCAATTTCACAATTAATATTTAATTAGGAGATTTCATTAATAACATATAGTTGTTGTTTCAGCATTTCATAACTACTGCATTAAACAAGATTACGTCTGCGTCGATTACATAGTACACGTATTATTATGATAACATTCCTCTCGATCTGTCAACTTGATTTCGTTAAACGCTAAATCTAATTATCTTGTTTATGGAATTTATCTCGCAATTGTATAATCCACGTACTCATTTATTTCATTTCATTGACAATTCGTTATTTACTTATGTAGCTTCAATGAACTAAAGGAAATATTAATTAATTTTTTTAATTAGTTTTGATAGCAACTTGAAAATAACAAATTTATCGTAATTAAAGACACAAATAAACAACATGTACGAAAGAAGTTGAAATAAAGGTTTTTCAACTACATACCAAGATTAAATTTAAGAAATATTGTACTCTGGATTTTCCGATTCTATTGTTAACTTGAATTACAAGAATGATTGAATAAACTAGATGAGTTACTACTCAACAAAACCTTGGAAAATTATATAATAATAAAACGTTTTTATATATGAAGTATTAATACAACTTTTTGTATATATGAACTAGAAATTAGATGATTTTCAAAAGACTTAAAAAGATGATAATTGAAAGAATTACAATTTCATATTCTAACAATTGTTTAATCTCTAAACTTGAGAAATTTACTTTGCTTGAATATTCACTGTAGCAGCCTACGTCCAGAATTTTCTAGAACATAAGTATCCAGTGAAATAGGAGTAAACTTGAAATCAATAAATTGCTTTGCGAATTGGGAACATTCAAAAAGAACATCTACATAATATAATGCTCAATGCAGAAAATAATATAAAATCTTTCTTAAGTGCACATAATTATTGTCCATTCAATAATAGTTAATTATTTCTTTCTGTATAAAGTAGGAAATTATCTCATACATTTAATTATTTTTTTTATAAACACTAAATTTCGGACATGAAAAAGCAACACAAATAATTAATATTATCTTCAATCTATTGACTAACATTTATGCCTAATTAATATGTATCTTTAAGTTTTGTACCAGCATTTCCACTAATTTATTCATTTCTTATCAATTATTTTATGTATTGTATGTTTGAAGTAAAAACATTATATTGAAATTTTACACAAACACACAAAGTAATCGAATTAATTAAGAATATCTTAGTTACAACATAATTCATATGACTGAAGAAAACCCACGCTACGGTTTTGGTTCAATAATATATTAGTTAGTTATACAACAAAGAGAGTAAACTGGTAATTAACATTCAGCAATTCCATATTTAAACGTCGCTGCCTCGGGTGACGAATTATAAAGCTATTTTACATGTTTCTATGTTTTGTTAAAACACATTATATCGATTCCCGCAACAAATTATAACATATTAATTATTCAGGTAAATGATACGAATCGTCGATTTCTTTTAAATATTAATGAATGTTATTACTGGCACGATTGCAACAAACATTCGAAACGAATCTATTAACAATAGTAAATAGGATTTATTACATAGTATGTACTGCATACATACAGAATAACCTATTTATGCGTTAATTTAAATAAATTTAATACTAATGAAATAATTAAATTCAGTCAAATTTATCATTAAATAACTCAACTTAATTATTAACATAATTATTATATTACGTTTATCGAAAATTGACTTTATAAGTTTTTACTTTGAAGTTTTTTTTAATTATTAATATGTTAATATTAATAATAATATTTAGTAGCTGTTATTTTTAAACTTAACTTCATTAAATATTGTTTACGTCATTATATATACGTTGTAATGACGAAGTTTATAGTATTTGTGCATGATGAAGCAAATAGTATAATTTCGAAATTGATTAGTATGTCTTGTTGCATAATTACATTTCAGTGATTACCATTGTTTCATACATAAATATTAGGAAGCGGGTATACTACTAATGACAAACGCATGTACATATGATTGTATATGTGCAGTTATGCTCTAGCAATTATTACTAATACATATTGCGATAATTTTAACCCTAATTTCGAATGAAATGAAACAACTACAAAAATTGTTATTTAACAAACTTCCATATAATTGTGAAGAATATTTTTGAATATTTTTAATATATTATAGCGTTTTCTTATAGAATTTTGTTATTTAGATTTTATAATAATATTAATGAAGAATTAGATTTGTAATTATATTTAATTAAAAGGTTTAATTTTGTTCTTTTATAATTCAATGAATAATTAAATGCTTTATACGATTTCGTTTCATTTTATAAATTCTGCTATAAGTGGAACGTAACTTTGTTTATCTATGTTTATTTTTGATTAAGTGTGCATTGTAATGATTTTAACTGTACTTTACTAAAGCGTAATAGTATGTTAGTAGTAATATATGCATTTTTATTTGTGATTGCCATTGTAATTCCAATGATGACCAATATAATTATTTATTTTTGTATAAAGAAGTAATATTATACACACACAATCATGTTTGATTGCAATTTGATTAATAGTAGATTTATAATTATAAATGCACTTATAATTGAATTGTTTGTTTCCTTCTGTAGATTATATATTTTGTTGCAGGTGTGCTGTGAAAGAATGATAGTAGGTGAATCGTTGTGTTCGAATCGATTAAAGAGTAAATGAAATTGAAGTTTCCTGATATAATCTAAAGCAAGTTGTGTTTACATGTGAAGGTCATGAGACAGTCGTCGAAGGAGGCAGTGACCAGGGAGAGTAGTTCAAATGAACCTCAGATGTAGGGCTAAACCCAGTATCGTAGTAGAGGGACGGGAGGTAGCGAGCTTGTAAAACAAGCGATGACGAAGGTGGGGGGAGGGAAAAAGAAGGAGAGGAAACGATAGGAGAGTTAAGATGGCTGCCTAGCTTTTGCAGCATTTGCGCCGCTGCTGTCAATATCGGCTCGGCCGTCGTCGAATGCAGACATATACAGGCAGACACAGAGAGAAAAAGAAAGAGATAGAGATAGAGAGAGTAGCTCTACTGATCAGACCTCAAATGTTTACTGCCCTGCAGCCGACATTTATTTATACGCAGCTCCTATAAATAAATGAGCGTTCCTTCGCATGAATTTCCGATGAAAGATGACGATCATAGTGTTTTTAATTGATACGTCCGCGTCTATGTTCCAGAGGTTTGCAATTATTATATTTTTTTTTCTTTCCTTCTTCTATTATACATATTTTCTATCCCTCCATCATCATCATCATCCGCTCTTCCCCCGAGCTCGACAACCCCCCCACACGACAGATTCTGTTCGTATTGCGTAGAGGTTAGGTCACACATAATATGAGTGTTCGTTGTGTTCTAGGACGTACGTGGGCGGACGTACCTCGTTGCTAGATGTCGCCAAATCAGCTGTTGAGACTTTCGTGAAGATCCGTCAGCGGAGCCCCGAGAGTCGCATAGACAGGTACATGCTGCTGACCTTCGAGGAGCCCCCCAACAACATAAAAGCAGGTAAGTTCCTACTGCCAACCATTTAAAACCTTCGAGTAGGCAATGCCCAACGACGAGACGAAACAACGACTCTCTTTTGTAAACATCCGAATCAAAAACATTGAGTGTGTGTGTGAGAGAGAGAGAGAGAAGCAAAACAATAATAAGCGAAATGTAAACAAACTACATTCGGGATTCAAACAAAAATTCGAGGTAGTTTTAAAACTTTACCATTCTTCTTTTGTTTACACGCGTTCGCAACAAGTAAATGCACATCCGATTTTATCATTTAATTTCCCAAACATCTTATTTTTTTATGTTCCATTGCTTTTCTCATCTTATTTTAAGTGCATCCAAACGAGATCGCATAACAATTGAATGCAATTGTGGAAAACATTTATATTTTAACACATTATATTTTATGTTCTTATGAAATTCAAGCTGCAATTTGGTTTTTAATTATAATCAATTAATACTTATATTGATTTTGTTATCTTAATTACTCATAACAATTGAATGTAATTGAAATTGATTCACTTAGTAACTATTGTTATAATTAATTGTAGTTCATATAATTAACTGATTAATTTAATGAATTTCACTCTATAAACATTTCAATTTTTATCTAAATTTATATCTTAAGTATTTAAGTTTGTTAGAAGTTTTCAAATTTAGTTTTGTACAATTATCAATTTACTTGATTTTCAAAATAATATAAATATAATTAATAAATGAGATCAATTTTAATTACAATTCACTAATCGCTTTAAGAAAATTATTTTTTCATTCTTATCGTTTGTTACTACGTTCTTAATAATATACATTCTGTAGTAAATATAATCGTATTTTATTAATGTAAACATGATCACTGCTTATACCAATTCTTTTAATCACAAAACAATTTACCATTAATTTTTAAAATATTTCTTTTCAATTTTAGCTATTTTCTGTGTTTGTAGTATGAATCTGTGCCATGTTAAGACTTGGTTCTCTAATCTACGTTGAACTGTATTCTGTGTTGGCAAAACCGGTACACATTCAAATCTTATACGCGTCAAATATAGTGTAACTACTACTGTAAGCGTTCAAAAATGAAATTGGATTTATATAATATTATTTTTAACTGTGTTATTATTACTCGTAACATTTTGTACGCGTATTCATTAGCAAATAATGTTTGTGATTCATTTAAGTAATTTCACTGCACATGAATTAATTAATAACGGATATTTGGACCTAAAATGTTATCGTAATGTGAACAGGCCATTTCGCTGACTTAATTATTGATTTCAATTCCGTGAATCTTGCGTCACATTTTTTGTTTATAACATTTAATGTAAAAAGGTATACAAGATGTAGAATAAAAACGCAATATTTACGCTCGCTTTTGTTATCATTGCTTACTTATTGCGTATAGCGAATACCGGATTTATCTTTTAAAATGTCGCCTACTGTTTTAAAATTAGCAAACATAAGTTTTCTTTTGTTTTTGACAATTTACAATATACGTATATTAATTTAGATAATTAAAAAAAAAAATAAGAATTCAGAAAGATTTAAATAAATTTATAAATCGTGGTCCATAGGTTTTTATAACTTGTAATTTTTTTTTAACAGGATGGAAGGAGAATTTGGCAACGTTCATGAACGAACTGAAGAATTTACAATGTTATTCTATGACTACGATGGGTGTTGCTGTGAAACAAGCATTCGATATTTTAAATATGAACAGGATGACCTCTGGTATCGATACTTACGGTCAGGGCAGATGCCCTTTTTTCTTGGAGACCGCAGTCATAGTTCTAATCACGGACGGTGGAAAACTTTCAAGCGGTATGGACCAGCTTAATCAGCTATCAATAATCATTAAGTAATTATCTTCCGCAGTGAACGGTGTCCATGAAGATTTCAATTTACCCATGAATTCACCCATACCCGGTTCCGAGATGACCCGGGAACCTTTTCGCTGGGATCAAAGACTGTTCGCATTGGTTCTAAGACTGACTGGTAATTGAATTTATAAACAAACGATGTTAGTACAAAGTAAATATTTTTTTTTAATATTGTCTAAATGTAGGTACACCAGCTGTAGAGAGAGACACAGGTATTGTTCCAAGTGATAATAGCCCAATCGATGCGATGTGCGAAGTCACCGGTGGCAGGTCCTACTGTATAACATCGCATAGGATGTTAAACCAGTGCATAGACAGTTTAGTGCAGAAGGTAATTCACGGTTCATTAGATTTTTTGTTTCATATAAAGTGCGTTTAGTTTAAATACTATTATTAAGGACTTTATATAAGTGATTTTATTCATCCCCGTATTGATCTAATGGTAAAAAAAAATGTTCGTTCAGGTCCAAAACGGCGTTGTGATTAACTTCGAGAAGATCGGACCTGATCCGCCTTTGGCAATTGTGGATGAGAATACGGTGAAGGATGAGAACATCGGCGGCGATGTCAAAGATCCAGAGTACAATGAGATGAACAATGTTAACGAAGTGGCAGCGATGAATCAGGTTGCAAACACTTCATGGTACATCTGCAGGAAGATGATCTACGTTCCTAGAGCTTCTACACAGAAAGGATATCCTATCGGTAAATCATAAAAAATAATTTTAGTTTCAAATTTTCCTGTTTTAATTCAACCTACTTTCTTTTCGAATTGTGGTTTACAAGTTTGTGCGTTAACTCGTTCGTAAGAAATTCTAGGATAGATAACTGTACAAATCTTTATTATTTTATCGTTTCTTGAATTAAGACGTAACGTTTTTTTTTTTCAGGTTTTTGGCCGATTCCTGAATCTTTTTGGCCAGAGGTTACAGCTACGGTGCTTCCGCCACGATCGGCGCATCCCAATGTGAAATTCAGTTGCCTGAGCAAAGATCCAATGGTGATTGAGAATCTACCTTTCGATAAATACGAGTTGGAGCCATCGCCTTTAACACAATACATCTTAGCCAGAAAACAACCAACGATATGTTGGCAGGTAATACTTTCTTTCTATTTTAACGTAGCAAATATGTTTAACTTACGTTTCTTATGCTTAATAGGTGTTCGTTGCCAATAGTTACAAGAACTCTGAAGTTGGTCATCCCTTTGGGTACCTCAAGGCCAGCACCAATTTGAACTGCGTAAACTTATTCGTGATGCCGTACAATTATCCAGTGATACTTCCTCTTTTGGATGATTTATTTAAAGTAAGTATTTGTTATTTTCTGCGTGGCAATTGTATTAAACGAAATGTATTGAAGGTTCACAGGTGGAAACCTTCGCCTGAATGGAGAGCCCAATTTCAAAACTATATGCGCACACTTCCTGCATATTACGCGAATCCAATGCGAAGGGCTTTGACCCGTATGGGAACTCCTTTAGCTTTGGCCCAGACGCTGATACCGGAAAACGCCGAAAACTGTTTCAGTTACACGGTGATGAACTACCTGAAGAAACTGAAAAACGTTGCCAAGGTCGAGTACGACAGGCTGTGCAATGAAATTATCCAGCGGCAACAGGGGGTAAGGATTTTTGTATGTTCGTTCTTCATTTTGAAGAACCGCCACCAGTGACGAGCGTTCGATTGAACTGATTCGTGTTATTTTTTTGTTGCAGCTATCAGCATTGAAGAATCAATTCAACGCCCCGGAGCAAATTCGAGTAACGAACCGTGTTCTAATCAAAAAGGAATTAGTAAGTCACCCGTTACTGGTTGACATGTTCAATTCCCAAAAAGATATGATTATTGAAACGCAATCTTCGTATATAGGGACAATGGACAAAGAACGGAACACGGTCAGTTTCCGGAATTCGTTCGACATTCCGAGGCACCGCCTCATGCAGCAGGTCGCCAGAATGCGTAACAACTTCCTGCAATCCGACTGGGTCGCCCAGGATCAAGACAGTGCACACGCATTGCCCATCTCCCAGATGGGCAACTACCAGGAGTATCTGAAGAAGCAGACGCCGCAGTTGCGCGAAATCGAATCGCAGCCGGTGCGACAACACATGTTCGGAAATCCGTTTAAGATAGATAAGAGGATGATGGTAAGTGGTGCAAAGTTATAAATGATCAGATGTGTCGTGACGCTGTATTTGAAATGTATGTAGGTGGACGAAGCCGATATTGATATGATCGGTTCCGGGTCCGGTTCTGGGAATAATCGGAATAACAAGAGACCTAACGCTACTGCCACTGATGCCATGACCAAGATTCCTGCGAAGAGGAAACCGGGACCATTGCCCAGGGATTTGGTGATCCGAAGACCAAGTATGGACTACAACACACCGCCTGCCAGCCCGGTTCATTCGCCGCAACCCTCACCCATACCTTGGTAAATATCACGAAACATGACTTCAATCCATCCATCAATTATTGTTATATCTTTATTCCTAATAGGTTGAATTACGCCGATAAAGTATTCGAGGAAGCCACGCCTGTGAACAATCTAGCCGTCAACGGCATCGATACTTTGGTCATTGAACGATCGCGATCTCCATCTCCCACCCTCGAAATGGCATGCTACAACCCCACGGACTCGAATGTCGGCACCCACCAAAGGACATACTCAACATCAGAGAATTCCACCGAAAACTTCTACAACTATTCAACCGATGACAAGCAAATCTCTCAGATCCTCAAAGAGGCCAACAGCATGGGCAACAATAACTCTGTACAAATTAGTAATAATAACGGCATCATTCCACCGGACAACAAAAAGGACATAAAGGTAGTAATACATTCCGTGAATTCTAAATCGTCAAAGCTAATTGTTATTTTTTTTAACAGGTCGTGATGGAGAATCTGCAGGAGATAGAGAGCCAGAACTTGGAGATACGGAAGACGTTGAACAAGTTGGTCAGGAAGCCAGGAAAGAACTTCACCGAGCTCTTCAATCACCTGAAAACGCTTAAAGGGGCACCGGAAGTGCAAGTGAATGTAGTTCAGTTGATCATTAAGGAGTGTTTGCGTTTCAAGAGACAAACGCTCGCGCATTTGCTCGAGGAACACATACTGACAATCAAGAGCACGGAGAACAAGTGAATCGTTTCCAAAACCCTCCCTCCCCATTTACTTAGAAGAAAAAAACAACAATTTGTTTCATTCTGTTTTCGAATAATGTAATGTTAAATTTTGTCTTCATCGAGTTATTTTTGTTTCCTTTGTACAAAGCATTTAAGTATTTCTCATTACTTGTGTATATTTACTTATATGAAATAAGATAATTTAATTTTTTTTTCTATAAATAAAAAAGAAACTATTGTATTAATATTTTTAATCGAATTCCTTGATGCGCTCTTTTCGTGATATTATGCGAACGATTTTGTTCATTAAGAAAATTTTATTGCACCAAGTGCGAATATTGTAAATATATTTTATGCAACGAGGTGCACGTCAAGGATATCGTCTTATTATATATATTTAATTGTATCATGAAAGAACTGACGATTACAATTAATATTGCTAGGAAAGAAAGCAAATCATATCATTATATGTATTTTAAACGACCAATATTATTTTCCATACGACACTTTTATCTCCCTGCCGTTTGGTAGGCACGTACGTACGTCCCTTGCGTTCGCATCTTTATAAATGTAATGTAGGGATTGATGTAATGTGGAAATATTGTATGTAAATGTTATTGAATGTAAGTGAAAGAGAGGAAAGAAAATGTGTAAAGTCGACATTCACTTCACTGATGTAACAATACGAGATGCATCATAAAATAGTGAACGTCGACTAGATCATTATTAAATTATTTTAAATGTGGAAATTTTTTATGGAAAAGAAGACTTTTCTGAAATTTTATATAATTTTTGATAATGTTAAAATATATAAATAAAATGAATTTGTTACGAAAAAGTGAAAATATCTTTATTTTTAAATTATAGTCGATTCGATGTCCAGTTTTTTTTTGCTTGCGCACAATTTATAACAAAACCTGCATAGCTAACGTTGAGAACAGAATTTACAAATCCTTGTAACATTAACAATATTTCACTAAAGAAAACAGTAATAATAGTTGTTCGTAACGATAAAATAAGCTAAAGTTTTTAGTACGTATTTTTAGTTCTTTCCCAGATTAAATATAATATTAGCATGGGTGTCTTAAATTACTTATTGTCAATCAATTGTGTTGTCAGATGAGAACATTCAATGTTCTTCCAACAGTGAATTATACTAATTATTTACAAATATATATTAAATTCAATTTAAATATAGCCTAACGCATCCTAAACGAAATATAGAATATATATATAAATGTTAATTAAAACAATAATTAAACGAACCAATTAAATTGCGTAAATTTTGCTTATACGTAACTAATAAAAAAAATATATAAATGGAATGCAATTTCAAAAAGTGAAAACCGGAAGGAAACTCTTGGAGACTTCCGATTGTTAAAGGTATTTGGTAAATAAATAAGGACGGATGAAACGCAACGAATCGAATGTTTTAAAGCCTAACGAAAAAAAAAAATCTGCGTTTGTGCATTTTTCTGATCGATTGCATCTTGTGCAATTGAGCGAAAAGCGAGTCCAAGTCCCCAGGAAATACACGAATTAGATCAATGATCATTTTCCAATATCCGATAGTTAACATTTGCCAATCAGACAATGGATTTTCGAATGTTCGTAAGATTGAAAGAAGCGAACATTCGAAATTCCATTGATAATTTTTCAACAGAAAACATAAAAAAAATCTCTTACGTAAAAGGCAGGCACTTTTCTGGTTAAAGTTTCGTACAAAAATCTGTTTGTAAATAGTTTTTCTTTTCATCTTCTTCTACTTCTAAAAGTTGTTTACAAAAATCTCATCGAATGCGATGATGAGTTGTACTTCGTAGGTGTGAGCACATCAATTGAAGCGTGTTACGTTAAAAACTAAGGCCTCTAGTAATTGACACCAATTGACCCGGTTTGTTTGTCTTCTTCAGAATTGCCTATTTTTTTTTATGTTTCCATGTTCGAAGTCCGTCGAGAAAAATAGATTTTCATTTATATTTACTGGAAGCTCTCTCTCCATCTGGCAGACATTCGTGGCGTGTGTATTTCCTGGGCCGTATCCTAGAATCTATCCTTGTGACCCAAATCAGGGTCGGTCAGGTAATGAAGATCCTGCAATTCGAGCATCTTCTCGTGGTCTCTAATATGAGCATAGTTTGCAGCCAAACACATCAGGTAGTGAATCTAACAGAAAAATATTCGCAATTTAAAAAAAACGACGATTTTCATAAATATTTTCATATTTACGGGACACAAGAAAGGATTAATCTCTTCAAAAGAAGTATTTGTTCATGAGTTGAAATCAATCTACTTATTTTCTGCTGTATCAGGTATTGCAGATCAAAGTTGAAATATGAGGAATTAATAATTAAAGGAACATTCAGCTGGAATAGGTTTTGAGTTAGGTTGAAACTTTTTAGTTTAGATTTCTTTGACTTACCAAACTCATGATAATTAAAATGCATGAGACTGTAGCCAAGATGAACATGATTTCAGCCTTTTCCACGTAATCCTTGCAAAACAATTTGACATCCTGATCTCCGCACACTTTCATGTGTTCCTGATGATGTCCGCTTGGAAAGAAAAAGTCTGAAATTGATTTATATGTAAAGAATGTACGCAACTATTTCATAATAAACTCACTGAATTGTGTAAAGTCGATGCAATCCTGTTTACTGGCGACGCGAGGATTAGCGCACATCCACCAGAATGTCGTGAAGATAAACGTCACAATCACAAGGAAGATGAACATCAAGACCCACGCGATTTGCAGAATATAAGTGATTACCATGAACTGAAATAGCGATTAAGGAAATCCCAATTAAACGACAATTAAGTGTAATTGTTAAATGCATTTAAAATGGTATTAAAACGGGATCTTTACCACAGCGCAGCTTATTCGACCCCCGACTCTGGAGCCCCATTGTCTGTAGACTTTGTAACGAGTGGCACCGGTCGTCAGGAAACCCACAGTCAAAATCATGAAACCCAAAGCGCCCATACAGGCTCCAATAACAACGAAAGCCATTTGCACCGCTTCAATCCTGCAATAGAATGAGGAAAGAGATGCAACAAAATAATAATAACAAACGGAGTTTCACATTCTTAGAAATTAAACATTCTTGAATCAATTTGATGATGCTTCAATGATTTCCTTTGCATAACTTAGAAAGCAGAGTACTCACCAAAATAATCTCAGCTTGAAAACCTGCTCAAACATGAGTAAAGCCAGTGTTGAGCCCCTGTACATTGTGCCGCAGAACACAACCACCCCAAGCACACACATGATGGTGGCTATCAGGGTGGCATATGGGATTCGACTGATACATGAGTCGCAACCACCTGAAAAATAATTATAAAAATATAATAGTTTTCATTAAAGAAATCAAAAATGCGAATAAATTTGTGTTAATATGGGAATTCCAATTGGTGTCACAATTAACCTATGACTAAGATGATAATTATTTTCCTTAAATTTAACCTTTTTTGGTAACAACTTCTTCCTCCAAATCATCAAAGTAGTCTTCGGAATCAGCCAAACTGTACTGGGATCTGCTGCAGAAACGAGTCTCTAAGACTTGATTCCTAGTATCCATGTTATTAATAGTAAATCACCTCTGACTCACTGAATTCAATGAGCAAATAATAGAGGAGAAAAAAACACTCATACAGTATTGTTATTTATCAAGGCTTCCCATTCAAGCTATGTGTACTAACTAATCTTTAGTATAAAATATGCAAACCGTTATCTTATCTGACGCAGGTAATTTTCGTTTACTTTTTCGTATTATACACACAGATAACGAACTCACCCATGTTGGATAAAACGAATCCTTTTCTTTTCTCGAATTCCAATCAATCCTAGATCATCCAATTCGAACTACGTGATGTTGAAAACAAAAGGTGAATGACATAAAAAAAAACGTAGCTTCTTCCCATTCAACAACTGTTTGCTGTCTGCAAGGTGGTTGCATCCAATAACAACAGCGTATCGAGAATGTGGGGGAATTTAAACCTTCTAAGATTGGTGATCTTTAAGAAAGGTTACCAAGAATGCGAGGTGATTAACACTGAACGAGCCTCGTGCAAGTCGAAAGTGAAGCCTTTTTAATTATAAACTAAATGCTTTTAATTAAGGAAATTGAAGGGAAAAGAAGGCAATAAAAAAAAGATGTTTATAACAATTGTTGTTATGAATAAATTTCAAATATTGAGCGCCATCTGCGTTGATCTCATAGTAGGTTATCAAGAATGCGTCAATTAAAATAATTACTATTTTTGCAATGCTTCCATTTAACAGTAATTAACTTCTTAAGGTAAATGAAAAAAAAAACAAATTAAAGAAAGGTTATGTGAGATTAGCGCCCTCTTTTGTTTTAAACGCGAATTTAGTGACAATCGTTAATTGTGGTTTGTAGATATGGCTTTTGTAGTACACGTAATCCATTTATGTAGTGCTACTTTATTTGTTTTTGGTACATAGTTTTTTTTTGCTAAGATCAAATACGTAAGTCTGCTGTTGCGGTAGTTCAAATGGTTCTGCAACTTTGAACTACTTTGTTTCCATAATTCGGTATTGCAAGCGCACAGATAACAGGACCTTTTAAAGTGTCCAATTATTGTTTCAAATTAAAGTACGATAATAAGCGCCGTATCTAGGAAAAAAAGCGCTGTGTTTTATTGCAGTGACATCGTTTGAGGAAACCCAGTGACGTTGGACAACGTGTCGCTTTGCGTTGTTGGGAAGTTGTCGTTCTTCGTTGTAAATCTGTCAGGTAGGACGGGAAACGTCAAATCGGGGTGGAAAAAACAGGCAAAAAGGGCCGAAAATGGAATCGAAACCGTCGAAACCCGACATTGATGCTGTTTTCCATCGTCTGCGTTCAATTCCAGCGAACAAAGTAAGTGGGTCACTCCAATGGTTCCCTCAATAATTGGGTTATTTGGACAAATTTGATCTAACTAGATTTGCTTAAAACTTACTCCTCCTTAACACACAAATTCCTTTCAAAATCTCAATATTAGAAACCTCCAAATACAGTTAACAAGTTGTTAAAACATATATATTTAATTACTAATCCATATGTTATTTGTCCAGTTAATTGCTTTGCATGCAGCACATCTGATACATCAAATTATCTCCCAGATATTTTATTATTACTTGTGTCTTAAATTCTTTCTACTAATTTGTATTTTGTTTTAGACATGCTTTGATTGTAGTGCAAAATACCCAACATGGTCCTCAGTGACCTATGGTGTTTTCATCTGCATAGATTGCTCAGCTGTGCACAGGAATCTCGGAGTGCATCTGACCTTTGTCAGGTCCACCCAATTGGATACAAACTGGACTTGGGTGCAGTTAAGGCAGATGCAACTAGGAGGCAATTCCAATGCTGTAAGTTTTTGTTTTATTTTCTATACAAATTTATTTATATATATAAAATTGCAGCAACAATTCTTCTCACAACATAATTGTATAACAACAGATGCCCCAAAGAAGTACAATTCCAGGGCTGCCCAATTGTATAGGGAGAAGCTGAACAATTTGGCTTTGAATGCTGTGAGAAACAATTTGGAGGTGAGATTGGATCTTATTTAAACTATGTAAGATAAAAAAAAAAGAAACAATTTAATAGCCAATGGATTAATTAGTTTATTGTTTAATTTACTTATTGACTATTAGTTCATTTATTAATTCTAGTTGAGCTGTATTGATACTACTATACCTCACACGAATAAGGTAGGCTTGACGTTTGCCTGCGTTTTCACATCCATTTCTGTTTTCTTGTATTTTGATTGCTGCTTATCCATTTGTCCAGTATCGACGAATTGGTATATCAAATGAAAGAAATTGGCATTCATTAATTTGGTTCTAAATTTTAAAATATATGGGTTCTTGAAATTTTTGTTTTGTCTTTAAAATTTTAAAAAATTCTACGTAATTAGTTTGTTTTCTACTAAATTGGAAATTAATTCTATCAATTTTGCTTGATTGCCATTGAAAGCAAAGAGAAATCTTTGGAATTGGAGTGATCTTGCAACAACTTTCTGCTTACGGCGGTGCTTTAATTGATTGCATGTCTGTGAAATATGTTGCAATCAATTGGTGCGAAATTTTAATGATACTGTTGCATTTATTACATATGTATCATTTAAATTATGATTTTTCAGTAATAATATATTGGTTATCTTATGAAAGTTTTCAATATTATATATTACCAAGATTGTATAAGACTATAATTTATTTAATAGAAAACAAACTAATTTCGCAACCTTAATATAAAATCAAGAATTTATGATATACCTGAAAAAACAACTAAACATTTTTACTAATTGCTTTTTTTGTTTTCTACCCTTCTTTATTACCGTTTTATTTTGTTAATACCCCATTAACATTGTAAACAGCTTCACATAAATTCCCATGTTGAAGAAAAACAGGAAGAAAAGGAAGTTGACTTTTTCACAGAGCAAGAAAACTTTACTTGCCCCGACGTTGCGCCAGCAGTTGAAAGAAAAGTATGTTTTTTATTTTTATTTATTTTTTTGAAATTTTAGTTTTTTTTTTGATTGCATCTTCAGTAATTACGTAATAGTTTTAATTTTTGATTGTTTAATGTTCACTTTAAAATATTCTCAGCCGGTGAGTATACCGAAGCAAGATGTCCTTGACAAATCTGCGCAGTTGGAGGATGGACCAACCGTGGATTTCTCGGCACCGATCGAGGAAAGGAAGTCCACGATTGGAGTGAGAAAGATTCAGTCCAAGAGAACTGGCGTAATTATATTATTTATTGATTTGTGATTGTTTTTTTTTAATGTGAAATTTTGTATTTGCTTTAGTTGGGTGTAAAGAAATTGGGTGGTTTGGGAGCGACGAAGGTGAAAACGAACTTTGCCGATTTGGAGAGGGAGGCGGCCATGGCCGAAGAATCACGATTGAGGGCGCACGAGGAGACTGTAAAGCAGGCCAGGGCCGCCTGCTTTACAGACTCTGAACAGGAGCAGGTGGAGAAGGAAGCGGCGATGCGATTGGCTTACAAAGATCTAAGCGCGCAGCAGCATAAAAAGGAGGAGCAATTGAGGAAAATGGATCCTAAGAAGGCGGATCAAATGGAGCGTCTGGGAATGGGCGTCAACAACACCAAAACGTAAATTATACTGATTACATTCTTGAGGTTATTATAAGTAAATGATTATGAATTACAGCGGAATCAGTCACTCGATGTTCAGCGATATGCAAACCATCGAGCAAGAGAATTTGCAAACTACTCCAAGTGCACTCAGCGGTTTGGGCAAGCTGCGGATAACCGAAATCAATGATAACTTCTTGGACGATTTATCTTCGTTCTCCTCGTTCAGTATGAACAGGAACGTGAACAATTCCAAAGATCAATGGGTTGTAGTAGACGATCCTCCTAGCACCAGATCCAATAGCAGTGGCAGCAGCAAACACACCGAACGTAGCGCTCCGAAGAATTACGAGGTGTCCACGACCGACGTTGCCCAGAAGAAATTTGGAAACGCGAAAGGAATTTCGTCTGATCAGTATTTCGATGACGGTAAGAAGGACTACGAAACTCAGGCGGCTTTGAACCGATTCCAAGGATCATCCAGTATTTCTTCGTCAGATTTCTTCGGCACCGGCCAAAGTAAGTTTACTGATCTTACCTTCCATTATCTATGTATTAATTGTTATCTATTTCAGACAACCAACAAGCTAACTCTTTCCAAACACCCGATCTTGAGGATGTGAGAGAAAGCGTTCGCCAGGGAGTGACTAAAGTTGCCGGTAAACTGAGCTCGTTAGCCAATGGAGTCATGTCTTCGTTACAAGTACGTTTCACAACCTTTTATAATGCAATATAGAAATTCTTACATTTGTTTTTTTTTCAGGAGAAATATGGCTACTAGCATTTAGTGGAATTAGAGTTATTTTAAAATTATATTCATATTTAAAATTTGAGAATTCATGGGACAAAGTGTATGGATAGCGAATTTCGTTTTCGTGTGCAATGTATAAAAATGTAAAAATAATAACTGATGAACGTCGCTAAGTAAGTGCAAAAATGTGATATGTTGAACACGGAAAATAAGTTTGGAAATGAGATCGTAACAATCTCTGGATGCACTCTTTTTTTACAGCAAATGAACTTGTCCTTCCCCCCCCAAAAAAAAGCTACTTATATATACATATATACAATTAACAACAACAGCAACAACAACAACAAAAAATGAAAATAAATTAAACTACTTTGTGCCTAAATATTTTAAGATTTGCAAGGAACGTAGATTATAAATAATTAAACTGAACGTTTAAACTTTTTACAATGTATTTCCTATGTTCATCTTTTTTACACCAGGTGTTTCTTGTGTTTCTCTTTTATACATTAAAATATTTCGGTGCATTGAAGTTTATTATTTTATTTTTAGTTCCATTTTATTTACCGGTCATGTTTATTTTTTAACGATGTTTTACTTTGCTCTTTGTATAAAAAAACATATGATTAGTGGTCTATTTGAAATAAATTTACCGAATGAAAAAAGATCTTTGTTATTATTTACATATTGCATTTACTAATTACTTAATTGTCCATTTTTTAAACCATTATTATGGGTGATTTATAAGGGCATGATTATATATTTAATCGTCAGTTATAGGTTTCGTTATTGATGGAAATACCGACATGTACTAAATAATTGTTTCATAAAATTTTAACTAGATGGCCAGACATTGAAAATCTATACTGCGATAGAGCAGTAATTCTCAAACTTTTTGCTCTTTAATTTAATTTCTGTATAATTTAGATCAACATTCATGTTCAACATTCTTTTAGAAGCGAGTGCTTACAAAACTACCGGACATTTTCGAAAACGTTGATTCCAAATTGTATAATATAAAAGTTTGATAATTAATTGTGACTGAGCTATGGTAGCTAAAAGCCTGTATTTACACTCATTTTAATCTTTGTATATTTAAGATCAAGATTAATGTTCAACATTCTTATGAGAGTTAGTGTGAAATACCAAAGTTTGTTAATCAATTAGGAACACAACATTCCAGCTACAAACTAATCTTTACGCTAATTTTAATCTGTGTATATTCAAGATCAACATCCATGTATAACATTCTTCTGGGAGATTATGTTTACGAAAATACAAGCCATTATCTAAGACATTGTTTTCCTATTTGATCATCAAAGTGTATATGAATGTTTGGTTGCCTGCACTTTAAGCGCAAAATAAATATTCAAACATGAAAAACTAATGCTTGAACAAATGTAATGTTATTACTTTAGTCTAAAAATTAAAATACTAATTAGATTTCGAGTTATATGCATTTTCATTATGACAATTAGAGACATCTGTCGGAATTTGCACTAAATAGTCTGTAACAGGCATACGTATGTGTGGTTGCAGACTGTTTCTTTATTATTCCCAGAGATTTATTTGATTCGCGATAACCGTCAACTCATTAAAGCTTAATAACTTGCTTATTAATTGACCAAAACTAATATATTTTATAGCAAACGAAAGAATTATTATTAAAAACAGTAAATTCAAAGTTTAAAATATAAATGAATAAAACCATTTATTTAACTATTTTTTAAAATTTGTAATACATTCACGTTTTTTTAAATTAATCGATTTATAAATTTTAACAAGATATTTTCTAAGAATAACTTTAAAAATGAATTATTTTTACACTCATAATCTTCATATTTAATGACCAAATTTATATTTAATTAAGAATATTTGAAAAATTCTCGAGGGTCGAAATATCAATGGTACTAAAACTTACTAAATGTTATTTATAATTATTGTTTTATTTTGGTTGTATAATGAAATAAGAAAACCTTTAAACTTTCTATTTTAACTGAAAATATCAAACAAGCACAAAATAAAATAATGACAGTATAAAACTTTATGCTTTTTGTATTTTTATAATAAACTTCGAGGAAAATGATGACTTTACCACAAAATGAGTACGTTGTTTACTTTATCAAAAACGAGTCTAGTTCTGTTTAATCATATCATTGTACGATATGCAAAAGTTTTGTTTTACAACCCTGTTTTTCTGGAACTTAATTCTGTCGTAAAACGGGTTTTACCTGTAATCAATTGATTTCGCCTCTTTTAGTTTTCATATTTTCATAAATTTAACGTAGTCATATTATATATGTAATAATAAGAATGAATGTCTTGGCAATTTTGATGTTTTTTTAGATTAATTTCAGACAAATAAATAAAAATGAGGCATAAATAATATTTGGCTGTATTGTGAGAATTTTTTTTTCTTTTTTAATAAAATTTTTCGACATATTAATTAATTTCTAGAGTAAGTTTAGAAATGAGACACAAATAATTGTTGGTTTTAATTATTAGTTATTTATTTAAAGAACAGAAAAAGTGTACAAATAATTATTAATAGAGAATAAAAGTAGCATACATCAATAAATGTATGCAAAATGTTTAGTAAATTAGATGGCGAAATTAAAGAAAGAAATGCATTTCTCCAAAAACTGCAAAAGCTGTGCGAAAGATGGCGATCTTCCGGAACACGAATTCCACTCCTTTCTGCTATCAGTATCCATTTTGCAGCAAGCTAAATGTATCAAAACTGTATCCCAATCTGGCGTCCACTTTTCAGTTTTCCTCAATTCCTGCATCACCTCGCAAATTGCATCCACCAAAGCCTGAAGACCATCTTCAGAAGCTTCCTGCAATTTCTTCAAATCGATCACATTCTGAACTAAATTTCTCACTTGAATGCTTTTCGCCTGTGCCAAACTCTTCCTGATCAATGTAAAATCCATATATTTTCCGCAAAACAATCCATTTCCATTTGATGTTGATGGAGTCGATTTTAAAGTAATGGAATTTTCCAAAAACTGTAAAAGATGGAGAAACGTTGGTGTTTGACTGCAATTCCACTTTCTTCTGCTAGCGGTATCCATTTTACAGCAAGCTAAATGTATCAAAACTGTGTCCCAATCTGGCGTCCACTTTTCAGTTTTCCTCAACTCCTGCATCACCTCGCAAATTGCATCCACCAAAGCCTGAAGACCATCTTCAGAAGCTTCTTGCAATTTCTTCAAATCGATCACATTCTGAACTAAATTTCTTACTTGTACGCTTTTCGCCTGCGCCAAACACTTCTTGATCAATGTAAAATCCATATATTTTCCGGAAAATATTCCATTTTCACTAGATGTTGATGGAGTGTATAAATTCAAAGATTCCATCATGGAAATCGGTGTGTTGCTTTCGAAAGACATGTTGATTTCTTAGTTGTTTGCACGACTGTGTGTGAAATGTAACTGATTTGAGATTTGCCAAAGCATGGTATTTATAGGCCTCTTTAAGACCAAATTTCATAATTCCAAGATTTAGAGTAATAAAAGTTTTATGACTGTTTAGGGTTTTTTTTTACCTGATCTTTAATTTTTCGTAAAATTTTCATTTTAGTTTAAAAATGATAATTAAACTATCTACTACGCAAATTAAAGAGAAAACTATAACCTTTCCAATGAGCTAACTGCCGTCATTGTGGTTTCGTCAGCACATCTACTATAAGTAGATCAAAATTTTGCATTTTAATTTAATTCTCAATTCAATTTGGCGACATAATTACATCATCGACCATATAATTTAAAACTGAATACCTCACCTTTCCAACGAAACTATTTGCATCTTCGTGCTGTCGTGGAGTCGTCTGCTACGAGGTGCAGAAATTGGAAAAAAGTGAATGAGATTGTCTTAAAAATAGCAGTTTTGTTGAGATCCGACGAGTTTTCACGTTTATTACACGAAAATTACGTAACTTTTGTTGCATTTCATGATTGCATAAGATGAGCGCCCTTACGCATCTTTTTACGAAACGATTTTTTTCAGATTTTCATGAATTTTTCGACAACCCTTCAAGATAATCATCGACCATTCAATTATAGTAAGCTTTTGATTGTACATAATTGAAATGAAACAATAATTCTAGAAATTGCATAATTTACATGCATGACTTTTGTTCCTGAATTTAAAGTTACATAACGTCAAAATTTAAGTGCAGATCAACATGCATGCATAATCTGAAATGAGTTTACAGAAATAAATAAAATGCGGGGTTTTAATTAAATTAAAGCGTGGCCCAAACGTATTTATGTTTCTTTTAATCAAAAAATCAGATAAACCATACAAAAGCAGACAGTCTTCATAAATTGCCCGAACGTGTCTCAGATATTCGCATCAGATTTTTAAATTACAAAAATATTTTCTGCGACTCCAGACTTATCAGAAGAGTACACGTATTTATTTATTTTTTTGCACTGTTTATTTATTTTGCTGACCCTGAAACAACATATTTGCAAAATGTGTTCATTCACAAAATCGAGCAGATTAATTTAGAACCATTTGTTTCATACAGATTTATTGCACATCGAAGTACATACAATAAAGGACATTGGTGGGTCATTAATTTGGGATTTTATCGTCGGATGCAGCCAAAAACGATGCGCTATCAATTTGTAACGTATAAAGTTCGAACGTTGCGTCGCAAGTTGGAGAAGAGTACTACGCTTTTGTGGAATTGAAAAAAAAAATAAAAGGTTAAGGGTTTTCAGAATGGATGGATTCTCTTGAGTTGATGCACGCTGGATCCGTACAATACAACTCAATTTTCATTCAGACAATGCCAACCCGATCTATTTATTGAAAACGTTTAAACTGTACGGCAAACTGTTTACACGAATTTGTAGCCGACGGATTTTATTTGCAGGAAGGACTAAACTGTTTCTTCGTCGATTCGAGACACTGCAAATAGAATTAAGCAAAAAAGTTCAATAGTGTTGTTGGGTTTTATTTCTCTTTGCTTAATTTAATACTTACAATATATAATTATTTGAACAACATTTGTAAATATTCGTCTAAATGAGACAACTTATTGCAAAATGAACGCTCAATATATTTAAAAAAGCAAAGATTTTGATCTACTTTTAGATTAATTGTTATAAGTTCTGTGCAAAATTGATTAATACATTTATAGGTAAGTAGTAAAAGTATAAATAACGATTTAAATAACATGTATATTGAATAAAAATTATGCTTGGAGACGAAAAAAACAATTTCACTTGAAAATAAAACTTTTATTTAAATTACAAATTGTCATAAAAGAAGCGTTACTATTTTCATTTATTGTCATTTTATTTTGGGATTTGTTATATCCGATTTTATTTGACAGACATACAGTGAGATTCTTCCAATTATATTACTTTAACTTTGTTTCATTGTGATAAAAACATATTATGAATGTTTTTAAACTTGACTATCAGACGTACAATATTTGTTAAACATTTGGTCAATTGCAAAGAAATATATTTTAACACGATTACGATTTTCATTTGCATTACTAAAAAATTAATTAATTTAAATTAAAATTATTATAATTAATCATAATTAATTAATTATAAAATATAAAGCAACGAAATAAGTTTTTTTTACAATAGAAACACATAAGAATTGTAAATTGTTATTCAATTTTTGTTCAAAAACGATAACGATCAAATTATTGTAATTAAGAAATTTAACTTATTGCGTTTAGATAGCTTATAATTAATTATGAATATGGACATTAAATATGAAGACTTATGTATTTTGTGTGTGAAAATAATTAATTATTAAATTTATTCTTAGAAAAATCTTGCAACAATTTATTGTCTTATTAAAGTGATAATAATTTACAGAATTTTATATAATTAAAAAAATATTTTAGAAAATAAACAGTTTTTTTATTACATATAAAATTATAAGAAATGTATTAGAGGAAATATAAAGTTAAAACTATTTTCTTCATTATCTTTACAGGTAGAGGACACCTTTTTCCGTTTTTCTTTTGTTTCCGGGAAACTAGAAATTTAATATTAATAATTTCCAGAGAATTCGGGTATACTTAAAAAGTTAATAATGATCTTTAAACAAAAATTGCTGCACACCTAAAAACTTGCATTGAATAAAAATTGGTAATTTTTAATAAAAATACCCACAATTAATATGGAAACATTACGTTATAAATAAATAAAACTTCTACTGCATTAAATTTGTTTATTTTAAAAGGAAATAATTTGAACATTTCATAGAAAATTTACAGTTTCTGGCTATAACTGACATTTCTAAATACATAATTTATATAAGTAATTTTAAAAAGCTATATACACTAAATTTTTACTTTTATAACTTGATAATTTAAAAGTTGTATATTTTTAAACTAGAAACAAAATTTGACGAAAAATTAAAAATCAGGTAAAAAAAACCCTTACCTGTCATAAAACTTTTATTACTCTAAATCTTGGAATTATGAAATTTGGTCTTAAAGAGGCCTATAAATACCGTGCTTTGAACAACTAAGAAATCAACATGTCTTTCGAAAACAACACACCAATTTCCATGTTGGAGTCTTTGAATTTATATACTCCATCTACCTCTAGTGAAAATGGAATATTTTCCGGAAAATATATGGATTTTACATTGATCAAGAAGTGTTTGGCGCAGGCGAAAAGCGTACAAGTACGAAATTTAGTACAGAATGTGATCGATTTGAAGAAATTGCAGGAAGCTTCTGAAGATGGTCTTCAGGCTTTGGTGGATGCTATTTGCGAGGTGATGCAGGAATTGAGGAAAACTGAAAAGTGGACGCCAGATTGGGATACAGTTTTGATACATTTAGCTTGCTGCAAAATGGATACTGATAGCAGAAAGGAGTGGAATTTGTGTTCTGGAAAATCACCATCTTTTGCACAGCTTTTGCAGTTTTTGGAGAAATGATTATCTTTCTTTAATTTACTAAACATTTTGCATACATTTATTGATCTGTGCTACTTTTATACTCTACTAATAATAATTTGTATACTTTTTTCTGTTCTTTAAATAAATAACTAATAATTAAAACCAATAATTATGCGTGTCTCATTTATAATGAATTACCATAAATTAGTGTGGAAAATACATATATTTCCAAGACTTTCTTTAAAAGAAAATTAAAAATTTGGATTTTATATCAATTTTAAATAATTTGATATTATTACAACCAATTATTATTTATGCCTTATGAATTATTTATAAGAAAAAGACGTTAATTTTATTGGAATTGTATATCCAGTCGAACTTTCAACTTTATCAATTTTCATCAAGTGAAATCATATATATATATAAAATTAATTTCTTTTCAATATTTTTTTTAGAGAATAAAGCCAAAGATAAAAAATGCAAGAAACTATTTAATAGAAAGTTACTTAGTTTCTAAATGTATAATATATTAAAGGTAAATTCAATTGTTTGAAACGTTTCAGTACGTTGCTAACTAGATTTATTGCTTTATTTTCTAACATAAATTGAATTTGCTATTACTTCTGGTTTAATAGCTCTTGCAATGTTTCCAATTGGAATTTATCTTATATACTTTTTATTTCTCATTACCATAAATAAAAATATATTTTTAAATTAGAATCTTTAGATAATTTATAAATTACATGTGTTTAATTACAGTTATATTTGAACAGAAGTTTTGATTGTCAAATTTACAATTTTTTATTACATAGTTCATTTACTTTCTATATTGACTTTTTCGAGCAGAATAGCAACTTTTAGAAAGTAAGAAAATATTCAGTTCATCTTGTTTAAATATTATTAAAAAAATATATCATTTTTTAAATATGATTAAATGAAAACTTTAGATTTTAAATTTGATTGCCTATTATTATTATACATTTTTCTTGTTTCTATTCTTATCAAATTTGAAAGAGAAAAATCTGTCAGGAAAATTAATTGAAATAAATTATAAACATTTGAAATCAATTTCAATTAACGTTGTGACTTTCAAATGATTATTTACGTAGAAAACAAACCGAAATGTAATAAATACTGTAGCTGTAGGGTTTCTAAACTGTGCGCCGCGGCGCCCCGGGCGGGTACACAGGGGCGCCGCGAAAATTCTGATATATTAACATAAAGTTCGTCCTAAGATAGACCAACGTTTTGACTTCTGATACATTAAGAGCGTCGCAAACCGAAAAAGTTTGGGTACCCCTGCTGTAGCTAACTGCGACACCAAAAATAAAAGTTATCCTTGGGTTAAAGCAGTTTCGCAGCGGAAAAGCGATGAAAAGTTCAATGAATCCTTGCCAACGCACGGACCTTCATTTTTATATATTTATTTTTTTCGATCGTTGTGTCGTTGCCTGCATTATCCTTGGGATCTCAGCGGGCCGTCGACAAATGAAATAAATATGTGATGGGATTTTTGTGTAGCCGTTGGAACAATGCAAACGTCGCATTAGAAATTGTTAAATCGCATTTGTATCAAACTGCGGGACAGATATAATAATAATATTAAACGTCATCGCGTCAGACTTTTTCCGTCCGTCCTCGATCTGCGGATGAACGAGTGACGAGTTCATTCCATTTTTCTGGTTTCAATGATGTACCGTGTTCATCTGACAGGAGACATCATTGCAATAGTCATTACGTCTGCACAATGTGATCATTTCTCCCCTTTTTTTGTGTGTTTGTATATTTATTCATTTCGACGTGTCTGGTAAAGCGATTTAAAAACGCAACAACTGTGTAAATTACATTTCAACTGCAATTAGTTGCGATTCATGTTCGTCCGTTTATTTATTTCGCTTTAGCCTAAAGTTTGTTTTTCTTTTCCAATTTGCAAATCAAACGAAAATAACTGTTGTTATTATGAGATTATTAAGAGATAATCCAGGAGCCTAAATTGAGGAGTTATTTAATTATTCAAAACGGATGTTATGCTTTGTACATCATCAATCCAGACAATAATAAATTATTGAAAGCTTTAATAATTTTCTTCTCAAAATACATGTTTCTTTTACTAATTAACATACATAATTTAATAGTTTTTTTAACGACTTTTGATTAAGTGATTAATTGGAATTTTCTTGTATTTTGTGAGCTTATGAATTTTATTACTACTAAATTATGGTGTATCTTTTACTAAGTGAGATATGAAACATAAATGACGTAAGCATATGTCAATAAATTGACAAGTAGTGACATATTTGTATTTGCTCTAGAATTATGTAATACTACTCTATTATTGTTGCTATAAATGATTTGAGACATTCGAGGAAGAAATTTTATAAATTAAAAATAAACATTTTATTAAAACTATATACACAGTACAAATATATATACAATTAAATTATTTACATAATTAAAATGGTTTATCCGTTAGCATCATCTGCAGAAGCCGCATGTCAGTAATCTGATGAAGCAACATCTGGAAAAAAAATAAATCAGTAACTTATACAAAATACAAATAAACTTTAGTATACTATTTTTATTACGAAAAATGTCAAAAATGTGGCAACTTAATCAATATTTGCTTAATTATTAAAGTATACCAGTTAGTTTTGTTTTTTTTTCTCTATCATATCATCTTTTCTATCTTTATAACAAAAGACTAATAAATATTTGTTACTTGTCAATTATCTCCATGACATATTTGTTTAAATTCATCAAAAATATTTAAAGTTATGATAACATTCTAAAGATGAGACATAATTGTTGGTTTCATAATTAACCCAATCTTAATTATTTGTTTCAAAAATGAGAGTATTCAATATTAAAGTAATCAGTAAAATTGTACGTACGGTCCATTTGAAGATCCTGATTCCAACCCAACAGGTTCATCCTTTAATCCTCGTTCATTCTGTAAAAAAATAAAAAAAATCATTATTCAACTGCTTCTATATTATTATATAATGATTGTTAAATAACAGACATGAAGTGATAATTCTTCCTTTATTTATTTGTGCATGTATGAATGAAATGACATAACAGAGGAAATTAAGATTAATCATCGTCGTCATCATCATCATCATCGTCTTCATCATCCTCATCTTCCTCCTCTTCCTCTTCGGCCATTTCGTCAGCTGGCGGTTTCTCTTTGGGCAAATGCGCAATCCTCCAAGCCTCCTCTTCAGCTCCAGTAGGATCATCAATTTCCATGATCTCCGGTCCGATTGGATAGTCCTGCTGTACAGGCGGCAACGGTTTCGGCGAGAAAGTCTGCGCCAGTTGCTTCAAACCATCACCCAAGTAAATATTTTGAAAAATCTTCCCTTGATTCGAGAAGCAAAATGCGCCTGGCCAAATGTTCGAACGAACTATAGCAATCGCGTAATTCTGCATGATATTCGAAGAGGAACGCACGGACCAAGGCCTGATGGTCTCCAGTGCAGAATCTTCGGAGAGCGGAGTCAACAGCGGTGGTCCGGTTTCAGGTTCAGGACCTTTAATTTAGTGATGTAAATGGATTGATTGTTTGAATATTGATTTGAATTGCATACCAATTTTCCTTTCCTTCTCTTCCTCCTCCTCACCCATCTCTTCATCCATCTCCTGCGGATACGGATTCCACCAGGTGGTTCTTCCTTGTGGTAAAATATTAAGAGCGTGGTGCACCCAAAACGACATGCTACTATCAATCAAATCCCTAATCGCAACCCCTTCGAATCTCATGTTCTCGCGATACGTGGTCTTCGAACCACCACCACCTTCCTCTTCTTCAGCCTCTTCCTCCTCCTCTTCTTCTCCACCTTCACCACCAAAGGTGTAAAAGCCGAGAGGAGATATATGCGTACCTGAATGGTGGCCAAAAAAAAAATATGGTGGATTTGTTGCGACTAATTTCACTTACCTGCGGAAATGCGACCGATTTGAGCGCGAAGCAAATTCATTTCGTTTCCGGGAAATTCCGGGTACACGTCGACCTTTTGTTCTAGGCTTCCGGTGAAAGATTTCCGGATTAAACGAGAGACCCTAATCTGCTTTGCAGTGACCTCGGGCAATTGAATCCAGTCATCGCCCACCTCGTGACAGACGTAATAGACTTTCTTGTTAACGCCGACGCCGGCCGGTTCATCCGGAGCCTCCGGTTCTTCCTCGTACAGATTGACAGGTTCCGGAGGTAATGGTCGAGGAATACCGGTGGTATTCTCTTCGCCTTTAATCTCCTGCGTTGCCAACTCGAGCTTTGCCGCTTCTTCTAAAGCTTTAGCCTCTTCCTTCAGCTTCAATTCCTCTAAGAAATTGTTAGTTGTTTTGCTTTATGATATTGGTTTTGGAGAATTTACCTTCTTTGGCTTTCTCCACTATTTCGTTCTTTTTCATGTACTCTTCCTCCTTCAAATCCGTTTCTACCACTAAATAATTCCTGTACAAACCGTAGATTTTCCCCCAAAATCTTATAGAAACTACCGGCTCTTTCTTGATTAACCTCATCATCGATAAGAGGATTGCGAACATCTCGGTGCGCGGAAGCCCGAAAGCTGCCATCTCGAAGTAATACTGCAGCTGCAGCATATCGTTCCTAGTCATATCCGCAATTTCCTGATCCTCTGGGTCCATCGTCGAAGGTTCATCAACTGGTAACGGCCTGAGAAGAGGCTGCCACTTCCTGGCCAACTCGTAACGCAGCGGGGAAACGTAAATATCTTCCAAATGATCGGTCAGAGGTTTGAACCGTTTCTCCTTAACTTTCCTGCTGTACTCCTCGAAGAAGTCGATCACGTTCTCGGGTCTCTCAGCCAAGATCTTGTTGAGGACGTCGGTGAGGTGATCGTACATATTCTCCCCAGTCACCGTGCTTCCAGTTTGCAGGAAAGTCTTCGCCCGGACGAATTCGTTCTCGAAATCGGGAACTTCGACGATCCTCGCATCCGTTCCATCCTCCGCGTCCAGCGGAAGATTATCGAAATCCTGGATCATGATCTCGCACAATTTCACGCACTGACAGCAGCAGCAGCACGTAAATAATCGTTGCCACGATACAGATAATCTTCTGAGGTGTCGGTGAAAATCAATCAGGGCAAGAACATCGGAGGTGTAAAATTTAATTAGCTGTACACAACTATTCGGCAAAGTTGAAAAATTTAATTAACTATTTTCCGAGCTGCATAAATACCACCTCGAGGAATTAATTAAAATACTTAAAATTATAATTGCATTATTCGCGATCCGCGGACAAGTTTTCGATGTTAATGACTCGCCTACGCGATAATAATAATAATATTTAGACGAACGCAATTGGAAAAGAAGAATCCTTTAAGTAAGTCCTTCATTCTAGTACGTTCCAATTAGTGCAAATTAATTAAGCATTGAATATCGGATGGTTCAGTAAACTCGAAAAAAAAATCCTTTTACACGTACACTTTTTTATCCTTTTTTTTTGTTTTAAATACTCACATTAAGATCGAGCAATTTGAGACATGAAAAAAAAGAACATTTGACTTTTCTTTGAAAATATTTTCAATGTAAATCAAATGAAATTAATATATTTTACATAATATTGCTTTAGTGAACAAGCCGATATTTTGGCCATAATACAAATATATAAAGTAAAACTATTTTACTAATTAATTAAGATAATACACGCAAAAACTCGGCAAAATCCACAAAAGTTAGCAAAGTTGGAACATATACCAATGATAACAAATAAACAAACAAACAAAAGATTAAGTAAATAACTTGATGTTAAATAAGATGAATCTTATTTTAAATAGTTTATTTAGTTGCTTATAAATTAGTTTAAAATCAAATATTTTGCATGCATTTTCGTTTAGATAGACTCTTTTGTCTGGTTTTATATACAGTTTTTACACTTGCTAGAAGTAATTGTTCAAGTTATCAACTAAAAAAAACTTTATGTGTCAAACGTCATATGTTAATCATAATGTCAAAGTGTCACACATGATTGTAGAAATAGAAATTTTAATTGTTATTAATTATAGTAGAAAATGGTAATAAAAATCTGAAATAGAAATTTATTAGACAAAAAGAGTCAAAGAAAATAAAAGTTATGAAAATACATCATTAAAAATATAAAATTAACTGACTTACGCACATTTATAAAGTTATTCAAATACACTTGGTTCTCTTTCTATGCGGTAGATACGTTCCACAGGAAAACGCATAAAAATAAATCGCACAAAAAAGGACCAGACACACGTATAAAAATAAAGGATACGTTCCATAATTTTTTAAAACCGCATAAAACTAAATCAATGAGTATCAATATACCGTAAATCGCATTATTAAATTTCAGAAAAAATATTAGTCTTTCTGAAATGTTTATTCATAACAATCATAGACAAGTTTATTAAATTTCAGAAAAATATAATTTTAACATATTCCTTCTAATTTTATACGGAAAAATTTTACAAAAAAAAATACAGAAATTTTTTATGAAAGTTAATCTTTCTTCACATTTTTTTCATAAGCTTATTTAATAAGCTAAACAACAAAATTGTCTCTGCAAATCTGCCGTTTAGTTAATAATATTACAAGGAAAACAGGCAAAAAGTACAGATTATATTTTAAAATGATTAAAAATGTATTTTTGTCTATCAATACTTTATTCAAATATTCGTGAATTAACGTTCCCGAATTATCAAGGATAATCAACGTTTTATTAAATTGTTAATCATTTGAAAAATGCAATAATTACAAGAAGTATTTAAAAAAAATCATAATTAAAACTTATTTTGTGATTCTTATTATTACCATAAAACAAAAGGTTTTAGTACAAATGATACATTTTACAATTGATAAGAATCCACGGATTATCATCACACGTTTAGAATTAATAGTTTCAAAATGATAATCTAGTGTATACTTTATTTTTTTTTATTATTGGAGTGGATCGACGTCTGGCATATTCCACTCGAGAAATCCACTCGAAACGTATTGTAATTAATAAAACAATACAAAAGGTACGCTATCTATTCACGTAAATTTTATCTCGATCGCTGCGATTTCTCACATAATTGCATACAATGTTTCTAATTGATTTCGTTTCAAGAAATACCGTTTTACAATCGTGTCAAGGACAAAATCATTATAATATTCAGTTAACATACAAAATATTTTAGTTATAAATGTTAAGTTTACTATTTGCTTAAATTATAAGTTGACTTATAATTATATAATTCAGAAGAAAAATAATAATTTATTTGACAATTTAAGAAAGTTGAGTGATTAATAATAACTAGGATTTTCAATTTAGACGATTTGATTCTAATGTATTAATAATTAAGTAATACTAATTATCATTGTTCATTGTTCTAAAACCGGATTAATCGAGGACTTTAAAACCGCATAAAAATAGGCAGCTCGAAGTATAAAAAATGATTTTGTACACTATTTTTTTTTAGTATTTATTTTGTTGAATTAAGTTATATAATTTTCAAACCATATTATAGTAAATCCGTATTGATCGAAGCCGCACTATACGATGTATTACTGTATTAAGTTATTAATATCTTGCAGTTAATTTATCTATTAGTAAATCTTGTATCAATATACACCGTCTCTTGATTAAACTCTCTTAAATATTCAGTAATGTTTTTTTTTAATATTGGAATATAAAGATTGAGATCCATCATATTTCAATGAATATTGATGCAAGATAAAGTACATGAGATATCCCTCAGGAATACTTCAGAATCTAAAGTGTTCCTTAAGATTATTTATTGCCAAATTTTTTTTTACAAAAATCGTTAAAATGTTGTATAAAAGTAATTTCATAGTTTTAGTTTTTGATACAAATATACTTGTATTTGTAACAAGAATATAAACACTTTAAATTTCTTAAAAATCTATTTTTTATGAACTTTTCTATTGCAACTTTGAGCAATTAAAAATCACATAATTTATTATGTAAAACACACTTAAAAAGTATAATATTTAATGTACTTACTGGATGTAATTCGCCTATTTTGTATTTAACTAATATACTTTTCGCATATGAAGAATGTCCGCCTTCTTCGAAAGGTTTTGTGGCTTCTTTTCCACCCCAATCCGTTATTAATTCCGATCCACCTGGATGCTGCAACGACACGAAATTAGTACAAAAAAAATCTACACTAAAACATTCATCGAAATATTGAAATTCATCTAATGTTAATCGCAGTTTGATAATGAATGAAGACTTTGATCTATTACTCGTTTATATTTTTTATCAGAGCAAACTACATTATAATTGATTTAAAAACAAACATGTTTTGTACTAAAAAATTGATAAATCAATTATAAATTAATCAATAATTTTATTACTAATTAAACAAACAATGATATCACAGTTTATTAAAAAAAACTAATTTACCTCAAGTAAATATGGTGTCACATCATACACGATGTCTTTAACAACAATCCAAGTCTTATTCCCGTTTTTCCCGTTTCTTTTGGAGATCTCTTCGAACTTGAAATATTTAACGTTAATTTCCATTCTTATTTTGTGTTGTATTATTTCAGGTTATTTAAGTATACAAATTTTCTCGGTAATCACAGCCAGACTGCTTCCAAGCCATCACGATGTTCGCTATTTAAACGCTCATTTGAGATATGACGAATAATATCGCATTATCCATATCTGTTTACAGATATTATTACTCAAACTTCCTAATGTTGTTACACTGCGCTCAATTCTGTTTTTATTTGCTCTGTTTTCTCTAGTTAAATATATGAATGAATATGTAATTAATGATTAGTTATTAAATAAAATTAAACAAATTTAAATAAATGTTACTAATCTATTTATTGTTTTATTTTCTTAGTTAAATAAATGTTATTATAAGAATAAATTTAATCAGAGTGTGTTGACATCAGATGAATTTGTTTTTAACCAAATTGTAATTAATGTTCGGTTTTAGACATTTGAAAATTGAAATTACAATTATATCATTGTTTTATCTGATCTTTATTTTAATTAAATTTATTAATCAATTATGAGTATATGATTATTAAACGACATTAAATTAGAGTGTTTTGACGTACAATTAATTTGTTATAAGAAATTAGAAAATATATTTATAATAATGCAAAGAAAGAAATAAGTAAACTCTGCGTTAATTATCAATAATATTTTTTATTTTGTTTTAATTGTAACCAGTCCAGTTCATTGTCTCATGTGGGATAGATGGCCGGAAAATAAAGAAAAGAAAATGAATAATGCAACAAAAAATAATATATGAGAATTACAGGTTGAAAATAAACGAATTTTTGCGCTCAAATGCAGACTGGTAACTTTTGATTTTCCGAATCGATGTATTATTAATAAAATATAATGGGTTGTCAAGAAAGGAATGCTGGTTTTCACAAATACTGTTATGTTTGATTTGAAGGATTTCTATCAATGTTACGATTTTTTACATGTCTTAATACAACGTATCAATATTTGCAAACAAACGATCAATTTACATGTTTACTATCAACATCTAACGGAACTGGAGAAAGCAATCAAATAATTGGCAAATTCTGTTTCACCAAAATAATGCAAATCCTCACATATATTTTGTAACTCGTGGAAAATTATTGGAGTTTGTTTGGGAAGTAATGCCACATCGCCAAATAGCCATGATTTTCTCCATTAGATTACTATTTATTTCGAAGTTTTCATAACCACTTGAATGGTAAAACTTTCACTAATTATGATAACCTGAAATCGTACTTGGCTCAGTTTTTTTTTATTGATAAAAACCATAAGTTTTATGATCGCAAAATCATGAAGTTGAAAGAAAGATGGCAAAAGGTCATTGGACATTTTTTTATTGTCATTCTTATTCCTATTTATTCTATAATAAAATCATTCAGTAAAAGATCTAACGGCTGACAAGATTTTAATTGTACATCGCCCATTGGCGATTATCCTTTACTTATTGGTTATTTGTTGAATCTCAAGTAGTGTAGATCCAGTGGCTTGTGTTGCTTCAGTCGCTGTGTTGTTAGGCTATTGTCCAGAAGATTGACAGCTGGTACGTTTGGATGCATGTCTAGTCTATTTTGGTATTGGCTACTATTTTTTCTCATGAATTCTCCTGTTCGTAATATACCATAGAATACCAATGATCCTTCTTAGGCTCTTCGACTGGAATCTTTGGTTGCAATATTAAATCTGCTACTATCTCTCCATAGTATTATTGAACTTACTGGAAAATATATAATTGATTAAAATTCCTTCTTTGTATACAAAAAAGAATTTTATTTCACACTAAAAAATGGAGTTTTTTCTTACTTAAATATTATATTAAAATAATAATAAAATAATAATAATATAGAAGTATGTAATTATGCAATAAATTAAAACAAAACGTTTGAACATAATTTTTTTTTACAAAATTAAAACTGAAATTAATGATTTTAGAAATTTCAACAATTTGTTGCAATTTCAGCTTTTGTGGTTATTAAAACTTTGTAAAATATATAATTAATTACGATTGTTTAATGATTAAAATTGTAAGTAGATCGTGTTGTAAGATAACAAAAAGTCGTAGAATCGCACGTACAGATGTAATCAGGATAACGAATCGTTCATTCACGTATTTCGAATTGTCTAATTATTTTTACGATTTACGATCTAATAGTATAGAATTAGTCGTTATGTTTTTTTTTCAATAGTTACTTTACTCAATCTATTTAAAATTATTCTTTAAAATAATCTATTTTACACTATATGAATTTAGATGTAAATCCATATAGTTTATAAAAACTAAACTTTTTCTATTTTGTTATTTGTGTAGTCATGGAGATTATTATACTTATTTTGTCTACTCTGATTGAGGCATTTACCTATAATTTTCATTAGATTTTGTGGAAAATACTTTATTTCATTAATAAATTGTTGTAAATTACATAAAACATTTTCCATGACAACTTAAATAATAGTAAGCAAAATGGTTATTTCAAATACGAATTTTTTTTGTTAGTCTTGTCAAGTTGATTGTTTGATGATTGTTCATGGCTGTATACATTTTCATAATGTTAGCTTTCTTTTTTGATTCATTTTAAAACTGCTTTTATTAAATTAATGTAACTCTGATTGAGGCATTTATCTTTATTTTTTCTTAGATTTTGTGGAATATACATTTTCCATGACAACTTAAATAATAGTAAACAAAATGGTTCTTTCAAATACAATATTTTTGTTAGTGTTGTCAAGGAGATTATTTGATGATTGATCATATATAGTCATATCTAAAGCTTTATTTTTTTATTAAATCTGAAAGTCTGTGATACTGTTATAAGAAACTTGATATGTTACAATTTTATTAAGCAGTTATAAGTATGTGAGTTTTAATAAATTATTTGAATAAGTTTTGCATATATTTTGTAATAAATATTTTCTTTTTTGCTCTTTTCGCCTACATTCGCCAATACGAAATTGTAAATAAATAATGATTAATTAATTAATTATACGAAATAATCTCTACGACAACCAAAATAATAAAAACAAAATTTGATTCAATCAAACACATTTATTTTTATTATTTGTGTCTCTATGGAGATTGTTTGATAATCGACGATGACTACGTGCGAGACCGCTCAAAATACTCTTCGACTTGTCTGATATTACATTAATATTGCAACTTGCACGTTGATTGTAATTGATTTACTCGAGAAACGTTCGGATCCATTAAAATCTCGGTTTCAGATCATTGAGATTGTCGACTACAGATTATTACCAAAAAAAAATACAATCAATAACTACAACAAAGCACATATAGCAATGATACAATTATTTTTGTTTATATATCGATTCGTACTTATTTTGCATTTAATCTTATTAGGATAATTCCATGCTTTTCTCTTGAAAATTCACGACATAAGCTCTTTATTTTTTGAATGGAGATTTTCGTGTGGGAGATTTGACACATATACTGAATATGTGTACTATATAGATAGATATATATATATTCGTCAGATACAGAGAACGGTTCAAACACTTCGAGATTTGTTTGCCGAAGTGAGTATAAAAATACACTCTATTAATAAAATCCATCGATAAAACGTGTTTGTCGGCAAAAGAAAAAACCGTGCGGAAATATAAAATATTAAAACTGTCCGTCCCCTTTTGTCGATCCTCCGGATCTCTGATCCAATCATCATCACCAACATTTCTATATCAACATTCGTTTTTCGCATATTCAATTCCACTTACATCTTCTTTTTTAACGAATCGTTCGATGCGATAATAATTACCGATTGATGTGTGTTTAAGGTAATCCAAGAGATTTGGATTTTATACCAGTTCCGTGCAAAATGTGACAATGAATTAATTTGCAGATAGATGTAATTTTCGTCATGATGAAAAACATTCGGATTTTTATACAAATAAAGCTTTGAAATTTGCAGGTGTTCGTTTTCCATTGCAATGAAAACTCGTATCAAATCCAAATTGTGCACAAATAATCACGAATCGACCTTCGTGCATATTTGCATTCTTTCATGTTTTTACGTCGTTTCTATTAGAAATAGGAAGGAATGAATGATGTTTCTTGTCGTAATTCAATTTGAATTCATTAAAAGAAAACATAATTTTGTCCTTGAAATTTTGCATATTATAAAAATACTATGAATTGTACTTTAATAGATGAGTGACATTAGTTCTTTCATGCAATACATTTTAAAATTATTTATAAGTTATAAATTAATAGATTATAAGCAATTAATGTCATAATAATTTCATTCAAATTGTAGTGTTTTCACGTTCTTTCATATTACTCAACAACCACACATGGTAATTATAAGTGTAGGCATTCTCACTAAAGCCAAATGATCAAGATTCAATTTGGTGAGACTACCAGATGCAATGTCTTCACGTTTTATGGTATTACTCAACAACCTCTAATGGTAATTTAAAGTATTAGCACTCTTATTAAAAACAAATATACAAGATTTAATTAGGAAATACTACCAGATTTGCATCGGTTACCATTGTCTTGTAATAAGTTAACAACTGTGAAAACAATATTTTTTAGCGCTTGGAAAATGCAATGTCTTTACGTTTTATGGTATTACTCAACAACCACTAACGGTAATTTAAAGTATTAGCACTCTTATTAAAGACAAATATTTAAGATTTAATTAGGAAATACTACCAGATTTGCATCGGTTACCATTGTCTTGTAACAAGGTATCAACTTTGAAAACAATAATTTTTATCGCTTCGAAAATGGAATGTCTTCATGTTTTATGGTACATTACTAATAGTAATTTGAAGAATTAGCACTGTAATTAAACCCAAATATTCAAGATTTAATTAATCTACCAGATTTGCATTATTTTCTTGTAATAAACTTTCAACTATGATTTTTTTTTGTTTAAAGTTCAAAAATGTAGAGTTTTCACTTTTTTATGTTACTCAAAAACCACAAATGCACATTATAAGTGTAATTAAGCACTTTCGTAAGTCTAAATAACTTCGACGAAAAACGACAAATACATTATTATTATTACGATTTTTGGTCCATTTTTTTTATAAATATTTTTTTTGAAGTCTTTCGATTTAATTTATTATTTGTTATAAACGAATTGCGTAATGTG